TCCGTCACCGGCATCGTCGATGCATCTCCGTTACGGATACCGCTTGTCTATCTGACGTCGCTGATGGATGCTACCATCGCTACTGCTGCTATTGTTGATGCTACTGCTACGGATATTGCTGTGGTTGTTACGGATACTGCACCTTAGCTCAGCTGTGGCTCGTCGCTCCTCGCCGCCGAGGCCGAGGCCTCAACCACAGTACAGCTCCTTCGGCTCCGTCTCCCGGCATCTTCGGGTCTCCACGGCCAGACGCCAGCTTGCACATCCTCCAGCCCATCCTCTCCACCAGGGCAACTTGACGTTTAGCTTGAGAGCTGCAATCAGTACCAACCAGCCGCTCGGGTCTGCCAGCGCAGCACATCACCACGCACATCACCGCCCAGAACGTGTCACTCATGCCGTGTTCGGTATGGCGTACCCCAGAGACCGACGTCCTGACTCTCATCCTCGAAGCACCCGTCTTCCAGAAGTTGGTTGGGACCTGGCACATTCGTCGCCCGTGCCAGGGAAGTGGAATCCCAAGTGGGAAGTGCGTGGGAGACGTGGGCGGGCGTGGGAGGGAGGGGACCCTGGAGATCTCGATCCCGCGGCGCACGCTGCCTGCCATGGGCCACCTGTCAAACCGTTTTGGACCGTTTGCACTTCCAAAAGTACATGCACCAGCACGCATGTCAACCACTCTCGACAGTCAACTGGAAACACGCTGCTGCCAAAACATCTTCATCAAGCAAGGCACGACGACATCGACACATGCACCTTGCACGCGATACCCACAGCCAGCCCGCGCCATCACAGCGACCGCATGCACGTCAGGAACATGCCCAGCCCTCGGATTCCCATCACTGCCCGTCCATCAACACCAATTTCCCCTTCACCGGCCCCGTTCGCCAATTATGTAATGTTTGACACCTCACTTTTTTGACGCCGTCAGGAATTACATGCGCTCCATCTCGGCCGATGAGGACGGGATCTTGGTTCTGAGGGGTCTCGGGACATTGCCAACTGACGTCCTGGGGTGGTCCCTTTTCGGGGTCCCTGCGATCCAGATTCATCCCATTGCATGGCATCGCACGAGATTGAAGCATCCGAACCAAGGTCTTGACGCCGTGTCCAAGGTTTTGCGACAACTGAAGCGGCTCGCAATCTGAAGCCATCGAGAGAATGACTAGCGGCACAATTGCTGATGGCCAGATCTTATGCAAGATGATGACGGCCGGGGCAGAATATCGCAAAGAAACCGCTCGCTTCCGACGCCCCATGGCCTCATGTGCCCGTACTCGCAATTTAGCTTGAGGCTTATTGCCCGGCAGCTCGCCAACACGCAAAGTTGGCAACGGCTTTCCTCTCCCCGCCAAGCTACCCATCCGCCCCTCTATCGTTCTATTCTCTTTCCATCTCGTCGTGGCCCGGTCCGGGATTTGCCCATCCACCCCGGACCCTGTCACCATTCCGAGCTCGCTCTCTGATGTCTCTGTTCTTAGTCAGGGCACGGGACTCGAGTCTTTTGGTGGGCAAAGACATTGTCTCACTGAAAGCTGCACTGCGCAGCACACACCGTTTCTCTCCGTTCCAGATCGCCCGCAAAAGCCTTGTATCGGAATCACATCTCCCAAGCACAAGGAGTCCTTTTCCATGCACCAGAAATCCACAAGTAAACGCAGAGCACAGTAGTTTCCGCGGTTGGGTGCCATGGATCAGGGATGACATAGGGCCACCGGGCGGTCACCTCTCTCCGGCGGCCCCCTAGCCTCTCCCAACATCCCTACCAGGTACGCCGTCCTAATGGACCGCTTGCCGACTCGGGATCCTCCCTCGTGCATGTGTCAAAGTAAACTCCACAGCACATCTTATGTCAATCATCAGTCTTTCCACCGTCGGATCCGTCCGCCCGCACCATCCCAAGCATCCACCCCCCGGCGTTCTCGTCGTTTACTGCTGTGCTGCTGGGCAAGTGACCGTCAGCCAGGCCCTCTCTGCTCCCCCGGGGTGTACAATGTGTGCTCGCCGCACGAGCTGCCGTAGCGCACACCCGCAGTCGTACCTTTTTCTGTCACTTGTCCCTTGTCCATGGGCCGGTCGTATGACGAGCCCGTCCATCGCCAGTTTTGCTCGCCGTTCCAACCCGCGCCCGCCTTACCATGGCCCTCATCACCCCCAATTCTCGCCAGGTGGCCCACCCTATGCTACGCCGCGGAGCTCTACCCCGGCCGCCCTCTGCCAAGCAATTGGGAAACGCACCTCGTTTTTTGCTTTCTGCATTTTCATCGAGTTGTAGGTATATAGCTTTGTCCCTCCGTCGAGTAGTCTCCCCACCTGTCCTATGCTCGAACCATCAGCCTCAATCGCCAAAGTAACATCATCATACAACTACACATCTCGCCATCCGGCACTTGCACACACACACACCTACACACATATCTGGTCTTCACTCCCTCCGAGTAACGCCACCACTTTCACACATCTTTAATCAACTCACCACCACAACAACCCCTGCACACATCTACCCCTCCATGAATCGAACCATGGCACAACAACAGTCCTTCGATTACTATCAAGTACCCCAGATGCCTCAATCGGGTGTCTCAATGGTAAGCCCATTTAACCGCCCCAATCTCCGAATAACCTCACTTTTTCTTCTCTACATTCCAACAAGCCGAAGACTAACACCTCCTCCAACAGTCACCCCCAGAGCTTTCTCCCCTCTCATTCTACGACACCCAAGCCGACTTCAGCGCCGACTCCGCACCATCCCGCGGCTCCCCCGTCTCTCCCGTCTTCCCCGCCTCCTCCTTCACCCTCCCCTCCGGCACCGACTGGCCCGCCTACTTTGAGAAGCCCACCCTCTCCCCAGACCTCGACGTCTTCTACGGCGAATTCGGCAGCCCAATGTCCTTCCTCTCCTCCCAGAACATCGCCCTCAGCCCCACCGCCAACCCCGCAGACTTGACCTGCGATACGGTAGCCTTCGGCCGCGAGGGCATCAACGACACACAACCCCTCTTCCAGTCCCTCGACGCCCCGGCCCAAACCGCCCGCCCGCAACCACAAATTAAGACCGAGAGGTCAACCATCACCGCTCGCCCCGCCACCCAACAACAACAAGCACCCAGACAACCCGCCCAACAACCTCAGCAGCGCACATCCCCCCGCAACGACCTCAAGCGCAAATCCTCCGCCTCCACCGCCTCCTCCTCCCGCTCCGCCTCCCCGGAGCCCCCCGCCCGCCGTACAAAGCACGAGCCCAGCAAGAACCCGCACAACATGATCGAGAAGCGCTACCGCGTCAACATCAACGAGAAGATCATCGCGCTCCGCGACGCCGTGCCCTCTTTGAGGTGTGTCGTCCAGCAGACCGAGAACCCGCAGGCCGCCGCCGCGCACGGCGACTCGGACGAGGCGTTCGATGTCGTCGAGGAGCTCGGCGGCCTGATGCCCGCGCGCAAGCTCAACAAGGCCACGATCCTGAGCAAGGCGACCGAGTACATCACGCACCTCGAGAAGAAGAACGGCATGCTCTGGAAGGAGAACCAGGAGCTCGAGAAGCGGCTGGCGGAGTGCCAGCGGTGGAGGGGGCAGAGCGAGGCTGCTGCCGCCGGGGCGTATTGGTCCTAGCTTTCTCCTCTTGTGTTCGGTTTTCGTTTTGGGATGATTACAAAAACAAAAAAGACGACATAGCAACAAAGACGTTGAGAAGTGTGTATATACCGGGCTGTATCTACGATTAGAGAAAACGGCGCTGAGCGGAAGGAAGAGGGTCGATGACGACTGGGCGTTTAACGGGTTGATATTGGGAAGGCATTTCTGTTTGGGGCAAAAGGGCTGTATACCACGATGAGCATGTCATCATCTGACACGGCGTTTTTCATGATGAGGAAGGAAATCCGGGAATGAGCTGGAATAGGCTTTTGGTTTTTGGTTTGTGACGGAGTGCAGCCAAACTCTCCCCTTTTCTTTGCGCAGCAATGCGATAATGAAGAAGACACTTTTACTGTTCGTGATTGGTGCCGAAGCAATGTGATGAAATCGTGATGAGTTCTGAGTTCAAGATTTGTTTTGGAGTCTTGCTATCCGGGCGGATAACTACCTCCTATATTAGGCCCATTTTATCTCGATTAACCTTTACTATTATAGTAGCTGCTTCTATCACTCTCTCCATTCCTACTATTATTACCATCGTCATCGTTGCTGTTATCGTCGTTGGCGTCATCGTCCCTATCGTGGTATATCTAGTACCCGCCCGGTTAGCAAGAATCATCCGCCCAGATAGCAAAACTGTTGTTTTGAATGTGGCTTGTTCAACAAGTTTTCGGTGAATTGAAATTAAATTTTGGGTCCAACGGGTTCTAGATATTAACAGCAATGGATATCGGATTCCATTCCACGTCTCATCTCGTTGGTCCAAGTTGACACCGCTGCCAACATTGCCGAGTCGCATGTAAGTGAGCAGCGCAGAACCCGCGCAGCCCGGCAAGTCCGCCATCCTCCATGCCGGTTGATTACGTGGCCCCGTTCCCGTATTGACGTCGGATAAAGCCCCGAGAGCGAAAGTAGGGCCGGTCGTATTTTACGAAGCCCGAACCGAACACCGGGTCGTCAACTTTTCCATCCTGTGTTGGAATGCAGCCAGTGAGAAGTGAACCTACATCTACGTCAGCACTTCGCTGTTTAGTGACAAACTGGTGGGGGAGATTTTCCAGGATAAACATTGTCCAAAATCGCCGACTTTGGAATATTAGTGAGCACAGCACTTGAATACGCTTGCAGTCTCTGTTGCGACTGAGTGCACTTGAAGTCATAACAAGACCCTGCGCCAGGTGTATTGAATCAAGCACATTTCATCCTTACCCACTTCAACAACTCAGCTCCTGACCCACCCAGCGTTAGGGAGACGCATCGCTTGCTAATATTATTGCAACTACATGGATCACAAACAGAACGTGAGTGGAGAAATGACATTAAATCAACCTGCCTGTAACTTCGCACCTCTAGAATATGAAAGCTCAGTCTTGTACACGCTCCTCCTGAAGCCGACGCAATTCGCGGTCGACTTTTGCCTCCATGAAACGATATATCTGCGTCTTTTCCACGCCTCTATCCCGGAGCATGCCAACGAGTTCCCAGCGTCTTTCTCGAAGGGCTACGTCAAGAGCGCCTCCCTGGCCACAACATCTTGTCGGATCAGCACCATGATCAAGGAGTAATTCGAAAACTTTCTTGCACGTTTCCTCTTCTTCAAACTTGATTGCTTTGATCAGATAGCAGAGGCTAGGGTATCCCGAGGCCGTGACATTGGGGTCTGCGCCTTGATCAAGTAGCAGCTTAATTTCAACTTCAGAGCCCTTTCTGACTTCTGATATCTCCTTTTGAAGAAGCTTGTTTAAACCAAGCCGTCTTTGGTAGGCCTTATGATAAGCTTCACAAGTTTCAAAAAGGAGCATGGCAGCGTCGCGACTAATAGGCGACAATGAGCAAGTGAGAGCCTTGCGTAGAAGCTTATTGGCATCAGCCTCCTTCATGGACATCAAATGTGTAACATTTGTGCAGCCAGCAAGCGGTTTGTCGTGAATAGAACTGTCAGCAATGTAATCTTGCGGCCTAGCCATGTAGGCTTTGTCGAGGAACAATTCAAACATGCTTTCCAGGCCCTTGATAGCCGCAGAATAGAGCGCAGTAACGCAAGCAGCCATTGACATGTCAGTACTTGCGCCGGCATTTAGGAGCACCTGTACAAGGTCAAGACCATCTCTCCAGCACGCCCTTGGGAGAGCCCTACGAATAAAGCTCTCAACTGAAACCGTTGGCGTGATGTTTTCAAGCAGATTTTCGATCACCTCTGCCTTACGACCTTTCTCAAAGGCCGCCCAGAGAGTCTCTTCATCGACCGTAGCACCCTCGCGGAGAAGAAGCTCGATGATATCGACGTCAGCATGTGTCGCTGCAGTGTAAAATACACGATGACCATTGATGTTTGCTTTTAAATTTAACATAAATTCAACAGCAACTTTGTGATTTCCTGCTATGGCGGCCGAGAGACAGTTGCCAAGATCACCACCAAAGGCGTGAGGGTCTGCCCCTGCGTCAAGAAGTATCTGCATGATCTCTGGATTGCCTCGATAGGCCGCTGTATAGAGAGCGTTGCCGGAGTCATCCCCTCCGCAGAAGTGAGGGTCTGCGCCACCGTCAAGAAGCATGTGGACGATCTCGCTTTTCCCGCTATAAACAGCTGCTTTAAGTGGACTACCTCTCCAGCCCGCTTTACTGTTAGGGTTTGCTCCCGTGCTGAGAAGTAATCGCACGGCCTCTTCATGACCGAAGCTGGCAGCGGCTTGTAGAGCGCTGCCATAATAATCCCCTTCGGCGTTGAGATTTGCTCCAGCATTGAGAAGTATCTGCATAATCTCTTGATGATTGAATTTGGCAGCAGCTTGTAGAGGACTCTCATCTTCACCCCTTTGGCCGTTAGGATTTGCTCCTGCGCCAAGGAGTAGATGTATCACCTCTTTGCGACCTGCCCACGCAGCCTCTCGAAGAGCGTTACCGAAGTAAGCACCGTCGGCGTCGATTGCATCAGCGTCCTCATTTAGAATCTTTTCCACTGCGCATTTCAGACCCCTCATTGCAAGGTGGTCCAGCATAGGATGGGGAAGGAAACTCCCTTTTCCGCCCAGACGCGAGCGGTAGAATTCGTTCAGCCATCGAGCTCTTGTAGGCATTTTGGTCCATTCAACATCCAGGATTTGACAGTATGTTTTGTAACACCTTTTGCAACGAATGAACTCTTGCAGATATTCAAAAACCATGCTGGTATCAGCTTGCTGGGTGTACTGTGTCCAAAAGCATGCAGCGTATGTTGCCAGCGGGTACGATGAAAGAATCTTCTCCAGGGGCTGATCGTGTTCAATATCCAGGAGATAGGACAGACAAGTAACTGCCATTGACCCTGAAGCAAATTGTGGTTGAAAGATACTGGAAGTTGATCGTTCTAGTCGATCAGACAGAAGAAAATCCCTCACTGAGCAGTGTGCAAGCTGCAGAGCTTCACGAGAGGCCCTCGAAATTTCGTCGGTCCTCACAACCACGCATCTCACGAGGTTGGGACAGTAAAGTGAGATTGTATCTTTCTCCGGTTTCACTAAATCGTTGAATCTCCTCCTCGAATTCTCAGATTTGGGTGAAAAAATAGCAATCTCAACAATTTCTTCAAGATATAACGGGGTTTCTGAGTAGAGCAAAAACTGAAGGATTCGATTTGCTTTCGCACGAAGCGCTTCGGGGATTTGGGCAAGCATTCTTGCATACGTTCCATCCAACGACTTTGGTAAAGACTCCAGCGTCGCTAGGAGAGCCTCGTGGTCTCGGCAGCCTTGCAGGGGAGCAAGAGCATCGAGTTGACATGATACCCAACGAAACCTACGTTTCCAATTAGTACGCAATACTCAAAATTGTGTGGCTGTATCCTTACATTCCATCGGAATTATTTGTCAAATAATATCTTATTTCTTCCTGAACCCATTTATGTTCTTGCCATACACTCAGGCCGTCCCAGTTTGTGATGGTTTCGTTGATGAATGCCTGTATGTCGCCAGCGACTAGGTCGCCCTGTAGACAGAGCTGCTCCGGAATGCATCCATCCAAAACCATCTGAATGTTGTGTTCCCGGCGACTTGTGACTAGGGTCCGAAGATTGTCATGTCTCGGTGTAAGCAGACTTTGTAGCCACGAAAGCAGTCCCTCGTTCTTGAAGCTGCTTCCAAGTTGGCACTCATCAAGTGCATCAAGTACGACCCAGATGTTGTTAGATCTTTGAAGCATACATTCAAATATCTCACAAAGTTGCGCAGTTCTGGGCTGCTCCGAGCCTTTCTCGTACTCGGAATTGAATGTTGAGGTTAAATACGCTCGAGCGCTTTTACTCTTGCGGGACAGTTGGCTGGTGAGAGATCGTACCACTCCATCCAAAGACTGCTTCTTGGAATCGATAAAGCTGAAGAAGAAGAAAAGCAGGTGCTGAGTGTCATCCTCGAAAGCTTTCAGGTCGCTAATGATTACTGAGCTCAGAATGGTCTTCCCACAGCCTGGTCCTCCATATATCCACAGAGACGATGCAGAATCCGTCGTCCAGCGGTCATACTATTCGCTATGAAGGAACCAATCGCAAGTGCCAGTGTGGCGCTGACTCAGTGCGGTGTGATAATTCACTGATGGGTCTGGCGCTGAGAGCCAGGTATACATCTTTTCTAACAGCCGTTCATCGTTCATGCTTTGGACTGCTTGCTTCGTATCTGAAACTGCTAATTCATGAGAACCTAATTAAAGTCCAATACCATTTGATCACTGACCTTCTGCCATGATCATTTCCATCTTATCAGCTCGCTCGACCTTCTTGGCATCGATGGCGCCCAAAAGCTCTTTTGCGTACGCAGCAGCGGCAAGTGCTGCATAGTTCTGCCATCGATCATTTTTGTGGCTATCGGCGTAGTCGCAAATTCCTCTGATGACAAGACAGGGGAAGTTGTTCATTAGGCCAGCGGCCTCCATCTCAAAACAAAGGAAACTCTTTCCTAGGCTTTGGGTGATCAGATCTCGAGCAAGACCACCCTTGACAACCAAATCTCCTGATGCAATGTTCCCATAGTGAATCTCAGGGTCAATGGTTTGTCGGCTTTCTCGAGAGATCTCTTTCTTAGGGTCGCAATTCAAACAAGATCCAGTCACTGTCGTCTCCTGATGGATGATGTTCACGTCGGGATCCAAGGGCTTCCGAACAGTTAGAAGGAAGTAAACTAAAGTCCATAACCAGACTAGTGTCACCCGAAGACCATAGTACATCAGCTGGGGGAGATTCCTTGATATTCCGTTTGGCTGGAGAGAGTGGGATTGTAATTCTCCGTGTCCAGTCTCGACATGCATCGACGTCGATTCAAACAGCCGATCGTGTTGTGATCCTTGATAAATGAACGGCGGGTCTTTCCCCTTCGGCTTCCCTAGCATCGGATGTAGGCGAACAGCCTCGTTTAGGATTTGCGGCAACTTAGAGCCTTTCACTCGTTGATGTCCTCGGAGCTTATTGATACCGCTGAGAAGGATTTCTGGCGGACGATTGAGTGCGCCAACTCGCTCCAGGCGGCCATTGTCCCTTTTCTTTCCCAAGTCGTACTGGACAACGCCTGGATGTTCGCCTGTAGGAACACTGACAACGACGTCGCCGAGGCGGATGTCGATGTCTTGTTCCAACCTAGGGATTCCAGCACCAATACCGACCAAAAGACCAAATCGTAGGTGTGGGAAGGACGTGGCCATGCATGTTGCGGTCGTTGCTGCCGAAACTTTGCCATAGCTCCCTCCACCAAGTGATGCGATGACGATGTTGTGTTCCCCATTCCGGCCCCATGAGTAGGTATTGCTGTCTTTGTCGTTCTGTTCAAAATCGTCTGGCTGCTCGTGTGTCTCATCAAGCATGGCGAGCGCGGCTGTCAGCTCCTTGTCCAGAGCAGCGATCCAACCGATCGTGTACATTTTGTACGTGGAAAGTTTGCTCGAGTCTGTCATGATGTCTTCGCTCACGGCTGGGCATCATGCCAGAAATTTCGGATACAGTCGAAGGTGGAAAGCTTCTGGAAATGATCTCAATATTATGTTTTAGGAACGGGGGATGGAGCGGACGATGCGTTGCAAGCGCCCTTGAGTATTTCACTTCCACAGGCCATCTACCCCTCTCTTCAACCTAGCCAAGACACGGATTGATTTTGTCTGCAGCGCTGATAGGAAATTTTGCTGACGAGCTGCATGAGTAGTCAGGGGTTTGAGTGGCTTCATGACGGGCCAGGCTGTTCTCGTGTCGCGCCCCAACCAACCACTCTCATACAATGCATGCTCAACGGGGCGGAGTTTTGGGCTGTGCTTCTACGACTTCGTGCCCACCATGCATCTTTTGATGGCCGTGCGTTTCTTCTGGTCACCCTGCATGAGGAACCAATTTTTTTTCGGTCGCTGACCTTTGATTTGATCAGAATGCAAGTGTGTAGCTCAGCCTGACCTTTTCACGGCAAGATGGGTTCAGTTTTCGAATCCACTGCCTGATATTCCCCAAGCCCTGAAGTGGAGCAGAACCATGCCCAGCCAATTGATCCCTTGGCGGTGATCGACGGCTGATGTTCTGTCCGAGGATAAGCCGCTGCCTAACCTCATCTGTCCAGCCATGTTCGGCTTGCCTGACTACACACCTGATCAACCGACTACCACCTTGTGAGTAGGGGCCAAAGAGGTGACTGCCGTGGCTAGCCTTGCTTCTGCATCGCCACCAACTTTGGCAGCCACGATTTCTGCACCAGAGCAGCAGGACCAGCTGCCTCTCCTTCCCCCGGCCATCGCTTCCTGCCTGCCACCGCAGGCCAACGATTGCCGTTGCGCAAGGCTTCATGGTCGAGTGGTTACCCCAGATGAAACCAGTTCATTTTGAAGGATTTCGTTCGATTCCAAAATGGAGAATGGCCATATCTCCATTTTGTCCGCCAGCATCTAGGTAAGTTTCGCTCAAAAGTCCATAAGGGTGGAGAAGCAAATGCGGCGAACATTTTGGCACCGGTTGTACCTTGACAGCCCCAAAGGCGGAAAACTTTGCCAAAAAGGAAATACATAAAAAAGCAACTCCCCTGCTCGGGGTGAGTCGAGCCCTCAGATTTTTACGTCCTTCAAGTGTTTTTAGCACTCAGCAACTAGGTTGCTTGCTCAGGTTTGTACACCTTTCTTTCATCATTGGGTGATGATTTCTGACACATTTTGGATTGATGTAGGCATACTCGCGTCTGCAGGGAAGGCAGGTGATGCTGCCGGCTGTGGTCGAGGGAAGAACGGGGGATTCATACCTGCCATCGGCAAGCTAGCAGCCGTGTTCTACGACCGAAGGAAGTTGGGCCCAGTCCTTCCTTGCAAGTCACGGCGGCACCTTCTGGGAACAATGACGAAGAATAGCATTTACGGAGCAGCGTGCCCCTTCGCTGGGAAACGCATGAGACTCTCGTGATCTCTCTTCTGAGTTCTCATGTGCTTTAAGCACTTCGCGACGGAGTCGCTCAGCCACCTTTGTACACACCGCCACGAGAACAGTGATGAGAACAGCAATCGCGGAGCAGATTTCCCTTTGTGCCTATCCACGGAGAAACCATAAGACTCCAAAAAGGCTATTTCTGAGTTCGCAGGTAGTGGTAAATTTCTAGTTGACTCTGAATTTTGTATGCACTGGCCTTGGAATTTTACGCCATGCGTTCGATGTAGTCCCTCTCGTCACTCCTGAAATCAGAATGGTAAGTCTTGAAATCGGTGACGTATGCATTATTTTGTTACCTACGTTCACCACTGAAAGCTCTCCTCGAAGTATTCTATGCGGGGCTTAGAAGATACCATCCTGACTGTGACCGCGCGTCTACTTTCATCCGCCATCCTCCCTGGCCCACTTGCGACTACTGCCAGACTACCCTTCTCTCCGGTATTTAAAATGGCTTCGATGACCTTTTCAACGTTTAACCTATGAAATTTCCACTCCGCGAGGCGATATCTGGCCTGATCCCCGACCCTTCTGTTGTCCATGGTAGTCATATAGACGTGAATCTTCACCTGTCCATAGCTTGAGACGTTCTTCAACTCGTGAGTGAGTACGTCGACGGCCAATCCCAGCTGTCGGACTGCCCAGTGAATTTCGATCAGCTTTGGTCGGGAACAAGACGTTGTGAGTTTCTTGAGGTATGAGAGTGGTACCGCAATCCCACTACCCCCAACCACAAAGAGCACCTTGCTGAACCGCTCCAGAGGGAGGGACTTTCCGTAAGGACCGTCAATCGCCACCAGTACTGTGGCCGGCTTTGTTTTCTTGGCCTTGGCGTAGTCCTTCAGTCGCGAGGTGAAGCTGTCGTATGGTCGAATCAAAAAAGTCATTTCCCGCCCGGACCCAAGACTTCTGGCTCTGGTGTCCTCGGAAGAAGCGGTCCTGTAGTCTAAAAGAGGTGAGCTCTCTCCCAACGACTCGCCGCATTGAACTGACTCAGATACTGACGCCACGGTGAACGGGTGGCTCTCCCAAAAATTCCACTTATTCAGCACCATGAGATAGTAAAACGTGCCGGGTTCAATGGTATAAAGACTCGAGGAAATTGGGACGACAACTCGAATCATGTGAGCATCCTCGTTGTAGGTGACCCGAGCCCATGTGTTCCAGAACGTTGGGCTGAAGGCCACGATCCGAGCCCCGCGAATGACACGGTCTACTAGCCATACCATGGCCGGAACCCATACAAGAGGATTGTAATCGCCTTTGAAAATCGAAACATGCCTTCAAAAGTGGTCAGTTTGCCGTCTCTCGTCTGGTTGCAGCACCGAACTAACCCTAGCATTGTCACGAGTATCAAGACTGACAAAGCAATATGAAGTACGAGGAAGAGCTCGTATTGTCGACGCCGAAACCAGAAGGCGGATGAACCAACAAGCAAGCACATAAGTATTGTGGCCTATTAGAGAGTCAGCTGCGCGGAAACCAGTCGTTGGCGGAATAACTCACCAATTCACCGGTCCACCAATAAGTCAAGTTACACATTCGCCAAAAGTAATCCCAACCGCCTCCTGAGAAAGGTCAGCAACGATGAGTTCCATGGCTTCACACATCATCTTACTCCGGAAAATGAGAAGTGTATAGCCTATAGAGTGAATTACGGCTTCCAGGGTGGCGATGCGAGCTACCCAGCGGTGGAAATTATTGTATGTTTTGAAGTCCCAGCCTGTGAGCCAGATTACAAGATTGTTCCTCATCCCGAACAGCCAAATTAGGGGAAAGTTGGCGAACGACAAAATGCCAGTTCTATCGGAAACATGGCGAATGACCTGCATCGTGATGGAAGGATAGCTTCGGTCCTTGTCGTCAGTATCAACTCAGATGACAGCATAAGGGTGCTCGAGAGAACTCACAAGCCATAACCTTCAAATATTCTGTACCCGTAGATGGTGCACATGACGTTGAGTAGCAAAAACAGCATCAGTGTTAATGTCTGCACACGTGGAGGTAAGGTACCCCAACCTCCGAAGTCCTGCACACAGCGCCGGCCAAACGTCGCTGGCGTCAAAATCGTGCGCTTGAGCCATAAGCTGCTGGGATGTCGGCGGGCGTGCGATTGCGCGAAAGAGGGACCCCAGTGCATGAGTGCTCGGTTTGCCATGCCCACCGCGATGACCACCGCCCAGAACATCCCCATCGCCCAACCGTAATTGAAATGCTGATCCCAAATGTAATCGTGTGCGTCCTGGATTGTGGCGAGTGAGCTGTCTTCTTCTAGATTTCTAGGATGAGTGTTTGCAGTGAGGAAGTAACTAACCAGCGTCCGGGCCCAAAGTCTGTGGTAGGATTGTGATGGCAGCATTAGCACGTCAACGCGCTGGGCACGGTCTGGACTCGTCTCGTTGAATCTGGTGATATGAGCGATGTCTTCTTCTGTAATGTCATTGATGATGTCGCGTGGGGGGAAAAGTGAGCCGTTCATGTCTTGACATGAACGGTTCAGGCTCTTAGACTCTGCAAGCCAAATCTCTTCGGAACAATACAAATCCCAGCATAGATACAGTGATCGCTGGTACAAATGGCTAGTGCACTCCTGCACGGCAAAAAAAGCCCCAGTCGGGGCATCTGAAAATCGCAGCGTCCGGAAGGTCTTTCGACAGGCTGTCCCACATAGCCTGTCGTACGCTTCAGAGGCAGCTGCTTGGGTAGAGATAAAGAGGATTACGACAATGTAGTATGCTGCACTGTTCAGTTGCCAGTATGGCATGTTTACTGAATGGCCTGAAATGCTTCGCAAGTCGTGGTGTAAGTGATCGGGAACCAGAAATGTTGCGGGTGAAGTATTTAGACTCAGGGCGGATGAGCGGGTATTTATCAGATGATCAGATAACGAAGGATTGTGGGCCCAACACATCACGTGTGCATCATTCAGCTAACGACACCCCTTCACAGTTATTTGTAGGACTCAATGGGTAAGTGGCATCGCGCAATTCATTTTGCTGACATTTTTTTGATGTGTGGTACATGTGCACGGGGTTACCTTTGATCTCGAGTGAAGCTAGAAACTTCATGTTGTATCATGCTAAAATTATGTACGAACGATCGCTTGAAATGCTCGTTGTAAATAGGCTTTCAGTGACCATAGGCGGCAAATATCGGGTGAAGACTGCTAGACAGCTGCTGGGAGGTGCTAGACCACTGAAGCCGGCGTAGCTGGGACACTCATACATCACGGTTCCTGGCACTGCAGTTTCATCAGACAGCGCAAGAACCGCCAACAAAAGAATACCATCTGTTGACTGTGTTGAATGGAGGACTGGCCTGATGTGAAGATTTTCGCACGGCGGTGACAGAATTAGTCGTGCCTTATTGAACAGATCTCAGTCTTCCTCTTAACAAGTCCACCCTCCCACAATGAGCTAGATCCTGTGATTGCACCAGTCCGCCTGTCCATCAAATGATTTGCCAATCATCCACCATGACCGGATACGCGTGGGAAAATCCTATTGAAGCATAACCTACTTACGATACAAAGCAAGCACCTTCTGCCAGAATGTTGCGCGCTCTGGCTGAGTAGTGACTGCTTCGTTCGCTGTGCGCTGGTTCGGGACGTCTACAACCTCGCCATCGAGGCCCTTGTTGTTGACGGCATTTTGCTGCTTGCCGAGATAGTAGTTGGGCATGAAGAAAGAGGCAATGAGAGGGATGCAAGACAGGCAGATGGAGGCGATGGTGATGTGCCCGTTCACAATCGCGTAGGCGCGCACGCCGCCCTGGCGAATGGGGTCGCTGAAGCTGTATTTCTTGAGCGTCTTGATGTTGCCGTATAACTTGGTAATCACGCTGCTCGAAACACCCGGCATCTCCTTGTGCATCTGGTCAACCATCTGCTCCGTCCAGATGCTCGTCGCAACGGCGCTGCCAATGCTGGATCCCAAGGTAGACCACAGGGTTATGATGGAAATAAGCGAGGCCACATCGTCGTGGGGGACGGAGGCCTGCACACCGACGCGGGCACCGACCACATTGAGGGAAGAAAGACAAAAGATGAGTTGTGCAGCCACGAGGCGAGCTGTATCTTGAGTCATTCTCCCGCTCGGTTGGATCAGGAGACCATAGCCAAGGATTTTGGCAGCAGCTCCAAAAATCATGAGACTTTTGTAGCGATGAGAAATGCGGTGGACCAGACCGACGACAGGTCCAACCAGACACAGGCCCATGGTGGTGATGCCAAGGAAGATAGTCCACTGATAGGTAGTCCAGTCTTTGATAATGAGGATGTATGACGAAAAGTAGGTGTTGCGAACGGATGAAGCCATTTGGTTGAAAGTATGAATAATCACACCCGCAATAAAGGCGCGATTCTTTAGAATACGCTTCGTCATCAAGGGCTTAGGAGCCACAAATACTTCAAAGAAGGCGAAGCCGATGAGGATAACGAAACCTATAACGATCATAGCGATCATACTAGGGTTCTTCCATCCGCCATCAGCGCTCTTAGCCAGGGTAATGGGCAAAAGGATGAGGGAGAAGGCAAAGCCGAGGAGGATAAGGCCGATGATATCGATATCAACCAGGCCTCGATACGCAAGCTTGGCCCAGTAAACCAAGTTCTTGGGCGTCGCTTCGGAAGTGCCCGTTCGAACATTCTTGGAGTCGGCCATAGTGACCATACCTGCCTTCTCACCGCGGCGCTGCATGGCGTAAAGGGTAACAATAGCGGGGACGAGAAGAACTGGTACGAGAATGGCAAACATTCCCAGACCCCATCTCCAGTCATCATAAAATCCCTCAGCGATAAACCCATTGACGGGAACCGTCACAATAAAGGGTAGAGATAGGCACGCGCTGAAGAAGCCACGCCATTCTAGAGGGGTCAAGTCGGCGACAATAATGTCGCTTAGAAGATCCAGGCCTGATTTGCCGACGGACGTGAAGCAAATACCGATAGTATAAGATGTGAAGGTATGAGCGCTCGCCGCAACAGCAAAACCTACGGCGTAGAAGGCAAGGATCACAACATATGTTGTAGGTCGCGACGTGATATCTGCTAACTTTCCGATAAAAGGTTTGCTGATAGCACGAATAATCTGGCTAGCGGTGTTGACGGTGCCGAGTTGGCTGTGGACTTTGAATGTTGACGCGGCTAACGTGCCGAAGATCGTGGTCGTGATACCCATGTCTAGGGCGTAGGCGAACATGGTGAGGCCGACGGAAGCACCAAGTAACCAGAGCAAAACTTTGCCTTTTTTGCCGGAATGGTAGAGAACCTTGTTGAATGCCTCGACCCTGCCAACGCCAATGGCCTTGGAGCTCTCGTCGTCAGGCGTGGCGTACTTGGGCTTCTCAGGCGGCTCAAACATGTGTTCGGCTGCGTCGTTCTGCGCAGGAGCGTGCTGGGGCTCTGGGCCCTTGGGCCGTTTGTCGTCGATTGCGGGCGTCGACATGTCTGGCGACGCGTCGAGCAACTGGAGGTTCCGAGATGAAGTCGAGACTACACAGAGGTAGAAAGGACAAGGAATGCCAGGCCAGCAAGCGTAAGATGGGAAGAAGGAAGAGAAATGGAGGCAAAGACTGCGAAGACCGAAAACTCTCCAGTCACGGCGACATGTTATCTCGTATCGCCTCGCCTGACCTTTTGGCAGTGGAATCTGGAATGGCGCAGTAGGACGCCGATTGGGTCGCCTCCCACTACGAACCGAAGCGAAGGATTCCCTTAGACAGTGAAGAGTGGTCCGTCATCGGGGATAAAACGTGTAATGGTTTGAAAACTTGACTCGGTGGGTACATCCTACGGGCGACATGCCTAATGGAAAGGTTCTCCCGGCAGGTTCCTACGCCAGTCGAGGCAGAGCCGACAGCATACCTAGACCCATGGGAAGAGAGACAAGCTCGGTTTTCTTTTGTTCCGAATTCTTTTCAGACCCTTGCACGTATCATCCACTAAAAATGCACCATGCCATCTAATCAGATGGCTAAATTTTAGAGGGAGGGGATCATCCCACTGGCGGGTGAGCAACTGCGGAGACTACCCATTCCTTGGCAAACTAGTGTGATGGGACTGTGCATATTGGTGTACACCATGGTTCTATATTACTCGGGCGACTCGAAGTCTCTGAATCTGGCCTGAAACTTCAGCAAAAGGTGATCATTTACGAGTATCCGTACGGCAGTCACTTCTAGAGATGTTTCTCGAGACACTAAGGCGGGCATCTGTCGGAGCGGGCCAGGCGGCTGGCACCTCGGTACTGCCTCCTGCTCCCTGAGTTGCATGCTGGCCTTGGCATGGCAAGGATGCTCAACGGCTAGTGCCCGAAACACGGGATGGGCGGGTGGCCAAAACCAGTAGCTCGTACCAAGCTGATGGTTTGCGTGTCTAGTCCACCAAGCGGCCCAGGCGGATGCGGGTGAGCGGGATCATTTTGATAATGATAATTGTGTCTATGAAGGTGTCATGTGCTTTTCTTCCCTATCTCTGGCATAACTCAATAGATTCCAAAGTACTGTCTACTCCTAAAGCTTTACGATGGGCTGCTGGCCGTCAGACGTTATCATCCTACCATGGAGAGGAAAATCTAATAATGTAGCAATTTTGATAACTCCTGTGAAGAGAAAAACATAGTTCATATAGCGGTTCCAACCTCTCTTATCAACGATTTCAGCAAGCCACCATTGGCAGCGTCGCACAATGCCCTGAAAAGACTATGCGAATTTGCGCATAAAGCAGGTATGCTATCAAACTCGGCGAGCATGCCTCGCTCCATGACTAGGGATCGATCACACGAGTCAACAACGGTGTCGAGCCGACGTGCAACAGTGAGAACTGTAGCGTCAGTCATGACCTCAGCCAAAATGGTCTGGAGACCTTTATCGGCTCGTCCGTCAAAGGAAGCGGTCGCCTCGTCCAAGATGATAATCTTGGAACGTCTGATGAGCGCATAAGGAATGGAAATGAGAGACTGCTGGCTGTGGGAGATGTTTGCGCTATTCTCAATGACCTCGGAGTTGAGATTGAGCGCGGAGCCGGCATGGTCACGCCCCTTCTCAGGCTCGCTGTCTACTTGAGTAGGCGAAGCCCCGGTGGCCTCGCGATCACTCTGGCCCTCTCCAAGACCGACTATGCTCAGACACTACGCTAACCAAGCATCGCTGTGTTGATTGAATGGATCAAGATTGTAGCGTATGTTTCCGGCTAGGAGCAGCGCGCCTCGGCCGATGACGGACACATTCTATCGCAATAGATGCAGGCCAACCGTGTGAATACCGACGTCTCCGATCAAAATTCGGCCCTCCGTGGGCTCCCCGAGTCTAAAAAGAGCAGTAATCATTGGCGACCGTTAGCTTGCGCTCGGTGGACTCCGAAACGGGAACATCAAGGATGACACGAGTGGTGAAGGGGGCCTTTTGAGTGGTGATCAAGACTCGATTTCTAGGTTTGTGAAGAGTTTTAGCGCGGTATTCGTCGACGCGATGAGGAATGAATGAGATACGTAAGATTATAGACATTTATGAATGAGCGGAAGAGTCAGATTTATTGCTAGTAATTTCAGAAATCGGACTTGGGCAATTCTTTCAAGCAAATTCCTGCGCTTTACACGCTGAAATGTCTGAGATGAATAATTTAAATAAGAAATTGATGGACTTCATGGTTGACAGTAAGTTCCTCTAAATAGCTTAGTAGTCCCACTGCAGAAAAGTCCATCAGAATCTATGCTTAGATGTCGATTGGAATGTCCTCAGTGCTTTCTACTGTAGAGTGAAAAAGTGCATGAAGTACATCACAATCCTGTGGACTACCTGTCATCCACTGATTATTTGTCATCCAGACTAGAGAAAATTCAGTCAGCATTGCCAGTCAAGGAATAAGGAAAGGGGATTGGCTAACATGTCTCTCTTCATAAAACGAGCGGCAGCAGCATCGTACGCTGGCTCAGTCATGATGTAGTCCTTGATGACGCCCGTACCATTCCGCAGAGCAGTCACCTGCTCCTCGGTACATGTGCTCGGGTCCAGCACGTAGCAGAAGTCCTCATACTGCGGCGGGACCTCATTCCTGATCGCAAAGGTGTCCGACGGGCCTTGAGTGCTGTAAGTCGAGTTCGCCGCGGTGTCGACCTTGCCAGTTGCGACATCAAGGTTGAACAAGGCACGGTTGAAGATTTGATACGCGGACTCGGGCTGGTAAGCAGGTACCGCGTGGCCGGCTTGGTAGACCCTGATGAATGAGAGATTGCCATACTGACGGACTTGGCCGCCTTCGTATGCCTCATTGGTTATGAGGGGTTGATATCCTGCTTTGGCGAAGTTCTCCTGGTCGGCCCAGGGAATTGCAAGAGCTACTTGCTCTCCACCGATCCAGTTGCACGCAAAGTCACGATCGCCAAACATCAAAGACACCTTGATGCCGCTGTGTAGCAAGTATGCAATGTCCTCAATCCAACCTGGGCGCGGGTAGTCCCCGATACCTCTGAACGCAGATGACGAAGCGCTGGAGCTACCTGTCCAGTTCAGAGGTACTCCAAGGGCTGCTTGAATGTGCGGCTGGTTGAGGTACCCCGCAGTGAAGGGTGCCGGGAAGAGTGTAGGGTCGATTTGGGTCACGTCGTAATAATCCCGACCAGAGACATCTAGATACGGGTCGCGGACATTGTTTGTGCAGAATGTTTCTGCGTCTTGGCAGATAGCGTTCACGCTAGCGTTCGTGCCCACATTCTCAGGGTCGTAAAGAGAAGAGACTTCACGACAGGCGTCGATGCGATCGCGGCAGCCACCTTCCCGGTAGTATGCGTCCACCATGCCAGTATATACCGTCTCGTTGACTGTTTCGATTCCATAGGTGTTATTGAAGGCCATTTCAGGATAGGAAGGCCACTGAACCTGGCGATCGATACAGCCGTTCACAATAAGCAAGGTGTCAAGGTTGAGGATGTACTGCTCCCCTTCGGTCCCGTCCCACGTCCCATTCTGAATCTTCTCATTTTGTTCCTGGAAGTATGCAGCAAAGGCAGGTCCGTAGCGTCCGCCATACGATTGGGTGGCGATGCTGATGCGGTCGTTGTTCGGGTGGTAGCCCGGAAACTCCTGGAACCAGACCTGAGAGAAGTGCCAAAGTGCAATGGCAGCGTTGCGGCTGCCCCAGGATGTGGTGTTACGGTTATCGACTGGAAGAGTGCCCGTTTGGAACGTCACGTTTTGGGCTGGTATCGGTGAAGATGCGTTCAGGGTTTGGGTGCCTCCGAAGAGATTGCGGGTCACATTGCGGAGGGTGTTGTAAGAGAAGCCGACTTGAACGGGTTGGTCGATGTAGAGCATGTTTACTTTCGCAAATTAGCCACCCATACGAATCAGAGATGTTCAGATTACGTATACCGTGGTTGTTCCATGACCACTCGCTAGGTCGCGTGGAGTTGGAGTCATTGTTTATGTAGCACGGCCCGTTCTCGTTGAAGAGCCCTGGCATTGACGAGCTGCCGGGTCCGCCGTTCATCCAGATTGAAAGCGGCGCATTCTCCGGATCTTCTTTAGCCTCGAAGAACCAGAAAAATGTGTTGATCTCGTAGTCTTGCTCTTGACCCACTCCCTCGAGAGTCCCGGGTGGGAGGTGGATGTAGCCGGCGTATGACTTGACACCCCCGGTTTCCTCGCAGAGATTGGGCTACGGCCGTCAGATGTTATTCATGAAGACGTGATCGGAGCGAATACTTCTTTGTAAGATATCGTGATGTTTTCGTCGAACTTCGATTTCAGGACGGTGACTCCTTCAGGCGTCGGCGGAAATTGGGCCAGCGAGGACTGGATCAAAGCTGTCGCACCGGCGACGAGCGAGAAAGATCTCCGCATCCTGTCAACACTCAAGAAATGGCAGGCTTGGGATCCGAGAAAAAGAGGTGACAAAGTCTTTCAGTCGCTGCATCTGCTGGAGGACAATCATCGCTATATGTCATTGTCTCTGATTTTCCCCGCTCATGTCGATTTCTGACCTTCCTACTTCGGAGCTTGGTGCTCAATGATTCACCATCATCGTGCGCTTATGTACGGAGGTTGCACCGCCAAGGAAGTCGTATCAAGTTTGCCCGGAAGCCGATTCCGTTTTCTGGTGAGAGGGGCAGGGGATGAGTGCGGGGTCGCCAGGAGACCCGGAGGAAACCAAGACTCGGCTGCGGGACGCGTTGAGTTGGAAGATGAATTGGCCAATGGGAGCGGTCGCTCGAAGCTTTAATTCCCGCTTTCGATGCACCGCTGGGACAAAAAGTCATTATTCAACATCCTGCTCATCCGGGTGCTGGGTGATCCTCATGGATCCTCATGGTGAACGTTGGCGTCCAGCCAAAAAAAATGAATACAGCATAACGACGACGACAATAGCAGCTGCGACAACGATGATCATAACGACAATAACGAAACAGTGGTTTTAACGATCGCGACGACCATAGTCAGGATGATGGGACGGCCGACGATCAAGACACAAAAACAACAATATGAAATTAACAGATAAGATGAATAAGGAATACTCCGTCCGGCGAACTGGAAGCATCCGTTCTGATAGCACTCCTGAATCCTAGACAGGACAGCCGCACTCGCGTTCAATGATAATCCGCATAAAAAGCCAAGGCTACATGAAGCTCAATATCACTTTGAAAGAATAGCTGGCACGGTGGTCGGAGTCCTCGCGTTTCTGCTATCGTCCGGAAACAGCTCCGGTCGGCCCGAGCCAGAGTGGATTTCGACCGGGACCGGTTGATGGGGAATGCCCCGCTCGGTATTCGGGTCGGGGGCCGGCGTGGGAGGTGAACCGGCACGCAAAGCTTGAGGCTTACTCATACGCAAGGTCCTACGTGCGGAGGTCTCGGCGTCTGCCTCACTTTTGCCGATATCATAGTCAAGATACGGGAGCAGATTGGTCTGTGATTGCGACATACCTGGGGGAATGACGCCGCCGAATCGCGTTTCAGGGTTCCCCGCAAAACCATAACACAATCAAGATGACGCCTTTCCAGCTCGGGATGGCAAACAGCTGGAAGCGCACCACGACCACTGAGAGGCATTGTGTTGGTCGTCGACTGTGTGTGAAAGCATCCTTTCTGACAAATGCAGTATTGAATAATGGCGCGGTGATTGGCTTGTTTAGATGTTGTTGGGGAATTCTATGTACACTTGACCTCGGATGCGCATGCCGTCTCGAATCATGATTCGATCGTCCCCACCAACGGATGTTCGAGTCAATATTAGGGCGCGTTTGACCTCGTGAGGACGATGATATAAAACGTCTAAGAGTCGGCCTTCGGTTGTGGTGCGATATCACCAAGCAAACCCCTCAGACCATCATCGAAATGGCCGCCGCTGCAGTTCAAGCTCCTCTCCTCGCAGGACCTCCAGGTCAGCCTGACATTGGCTACGCGCCCAACCACGACAACTACCTGGCGAGAATCCAGCGCCGTCACGAGCAAGAAAAGCTGAACAATTCTCTCCCCGACGGTTTTCCTCAAAGGTTGGAGTCAAAGCTCGTCTGGGATGGCAACACGCTGGCTGAGACCTATGACTGGAACTATGTGTTGACGGATGCCGACAAGAAAGAGGTCGACGAAGCTTTACAGCATTTCAAGTGTATGTGAACAATACATGTGCGTCCACTTGGATTCTCTGAGTAACTCTTCTTGCAGCACTGAAGAAGCCTCTTGGTGAGATCAGCCAGGAGACATTTCCTCTGCCCAACCTGCATAAGACTCTTCGCGCCATCTCAGATGAGGTTCACAACGGTCATGGCTTCAAAGTTGTGCGCGGAGTACCAGTCACCAAGTATACCCGCGAAGAGAACATCATCATCTATGCCGGAATCTCATCTCATGTCGCACCCATCCGCGGGAGACAAGACACTCAATTCAACGGCGAGCCAGCGGACGTTGTCCTTGCTCACATTAAGGACCTCACCAAGGTCGTTGACGCTCAAAGAATCGGGGCGCCCGCATACACCACCGATAAGCAGGTATTCCACACCGATTCAGGTGACGTGATTGCACTTTTCGCCCTTGGTGAGGCTGCCGAGGGTGGCCAGAGCTACCTTTCAAGCAGCTGGTTTGTCTATAACGAGCTCGCTAGAACGCGGCCTGATCTGATCCGTACATTGGCGGAACCTTGGAACGCTGATGAGTATGCAATTATTCCCTCATGTGGCTGGCTGTGACGCTTACCGCAGATACAGATTCGGTAAAGACGGCAGGTCGTACAGCACTCGACCTCTATTGCACTTTCAACCATCGGAAGGCGGCAAGCCGGAACGCCTGATTATTCAGTACGCGCGAAGAAGCTTCACCGGATATTGGGGACTTCCCCGATCATCTGACATTCCTCCCATTACGGAAGCCCAGGCGGAAGCCCTCGATGCTCTGCACTTCACCGCCGAGAAGTACCGAGTATCTCTCGACTTTCACCAGGGAGACATTCAATATGCCAATAATCTGAGCATCTTTCACGCCCGCGGAGGGTTCGTCGACTCTGAAGAAAAGCAGTGAGTCGAAGACCATTGAATGACAAGTTAACCGCATTGATGCTGACACAGTGACCAGACGTCACCTCACACGCCTGTGGCTTCGAGACCCGGAACACGCATGGAAGACACCGGTTGCGTTGAAGGAGAGATGGGACAGAGTGTACGCTGGGGTGACTGCTGAGAAATCGGTATTCCCTCTGGAGCCGCAGATTCGCAGTGCTAGTCGAGGCGAATTCAAGCCAGAGAAAGAGAACGCAAAGGCCTAGATAAAGGAAACGTCAAATGTTAGGCCTGGCCAATTGCCTGATCTACATACGAATGCCACGCGTTCCGTTGGTGCCAGGTGCATCTCCATTGAACACATCAAAGGAAGAGGTTCAAGGACAAAGTATCACCCCATGTCAGATGTAATTGAATTGACAATCAAGAAATAATCCCCTATCTCATGACTCGCTCAATTCAATTCAAAAATTACCCGCCGATGGCTGGCTGAATACCAGTTGTGAGCTGCATGCTTGCGAAGCACTATCGCATCTTCCCAGGACCGGATGACGTCGTCACGGCATAGCACAAATTAGGCTTGGCCTCCGCGGCCAGAACCAACTCCGTGTACTTAAGCCGAATAACACTAAGGAGACCTACAACGCGCGTGGAAATACATCGGGCAAACCGACACACAATCAACACCTAAGCTAAGACAACTCCAAACCTTATCATCCCGCCTGTCGTTGGATTGCTACAACTGGCCCTACAATTGCGTTATCGGGACCCTGGAACGCACCGTCGCAACCCCCCACAGTCCGACGTGAAGATAGCGACCTAGTGCCGGCTTCAAGTATCGGTAGCAATCGGCATCGCATCCAGGCGCTGTATTGCTGATTTCGTTCTGGCGTTATGGGGATGCAGGCACCTCCGACCCCGGGAGATAATGCAAGCTGGCGCGGGCGCATGGGTCTGTGGGTTGGGAGAACGGCCGAGGCCAGGATGGTACCCCGCGGGATGCCATGATGTTGGTGTTTACATACATATACTGCCATCCGATCGTCCAATGTATGAAACTCCTGAGTTCAGTGCGTTCAGTTAGGTCGCCTTCACAGATCATTTCATCGCTGTTGTCTTTCTGCTTTTGACCACAGATAGGTCGCAAGATGTCTTTCCTACGGCGACCGTTCAAAAGTCGCGACAATGAAGAAAACGTCGATGCGAACTCGGGTCATGAGTCGGACGTTACCGATGGGAGCCTTCACTATGTCGTCGAGAAAGGTGGAAACGACTCGGGCCCTTCCTACCAGGAGGCAACGGGTGCCCCAGTTGAGACGAGTTCTCCATTAGGATATGCTGTCGGGCCCGTCACTATTGTCTTTCTCAATGTGAGCAAGATGATCGGAACTGGCGTTTACTCAACTCGTACGTCACGGGCATTCTCTTGTTGACATTTGCACTGACAAGCCGCAGCTTCCGCCATCCTGAAGGGTACTGGTTCAGTTGGTCTGAGTATGATCTACTGGGCACTGGGATTCCTGACTTCAATCGCCTCCTTCTCCGTGTATCTCGAATTCGCTTCGTACTTTCCGAACAGATCCGGCTCCGAAGTGGTCTATCTAGAACAGGCATACCCGCGACCAAAGTGGCTGTTTCCCACGGCGTTCGCCTTCCAGTCTGTGGCACTGTCTTTCAGCAGTGGCAATGCTATTGGTAGCCAGCCATATCCTTATCTCTTGTATCTCGTTGCTAATTCAATTCAGTTCTTTCTCAGTATCTGTTCAAAGTAGCAGGGTCGACTCCAGGGCCCTGGCAGTTGAAGGGCGTGGCGGTGGCTGGATACACTGTTGCCACATTAGGTGAGTTCGCCTCGCAACTCTGAGGCATGATTTGTCCCAACTTGCTGACTTTGGCACTCTTAGTCGTTGCTCTGCATAACAACTTCGCTTACCAGTTTTCCAATGGGGTCGGCGCTGTGAAGCTGTTGACGCTCGTCTTCATTGCCATCACTGGATTGGTTGTACTAGGAGGCCACACCAAGGTCCCTGAGCCGCATGCAAACTTCGAGAACTCATTCGATGGTCAAGCGACAGCTTACGGCTTGACGAATGCTCTTTACAGAATCATTTTCTCGTATGCAGGTTTCGAGAACGCCTTCAATGTCGTGAACGAGGTTAAGGTATGTTCAATGACGATCGGGCAGTTTGACTCTAATCTGCTATGTCGGTTACAGAACGCTGACAGGGTGACGTTCAGAACCCAGTGAAACAAATTAGGAAGTACGGGTGGATTTCCCTTGGCATTGTGACTATCCTATACATCTTAGCCAACATTGCTTACTTCGCTGCCGGTACGTTTTGGTCAATACGCTTGTGCCGTCTTCAGGCGACACTGACTCATTTTGAACAGTACCGAAAGCGGACTTGGCAGCAGCCGAACAGATCGCAGCAAGTCTGTTCTTCACCAACGTTTTCGGCTCCAGCGGTGCGGTTAGAGGGCTCAATTTCCTCATTGCCTTGAGCTCCTTCGGCAATCTCCTGACGGTGCTGATCGGATCTTCCCGAATGCTACGAGAATGTGGAAGGTATGATGAAGCTGAACATCTTATAGAAGATCATACTGATGTAGCTTTTGTTCAGGCAGGGTGTTCTGCCCTATCCTCGGTTCTGGGCGTCAACGAGACCTTTTGGCACGACCCTGGGTCCTTACCTCGTCAAATACATCTTGACTATAATCATGATTGTCGCTCCTCCCGCCGGCGATGCTTTCAACTTTAGTAAGTCTGCACGAAACTCATGTTTTGAGAGGTTGAGAACTAACAGAAATCAAGTCGCCGACCTCCAGGTCTACCCTTCCGCCTTCTTCGGTTTCGTCATGTCAGTGGGGCTATACGTCGTTCGCTGGCGTCGCAGTCGCCTCAATCTCCCTCCTCCTGAGTTCAAAGCATGGGACGTCATTATCATCTTCAATATCGCAAAGGACTTGTATCTCCTCATCATGCCTTGGTACCCCCCTGAGGGTGGCGTGTTTGCCGGCGATGTGAGCTTCTGGTATGCCACATACGTGGTTGCCGGCATTGGGATGTGAGTTAGCCCCAGGAAATCATGCATGTTGGATGGACCTCATACTGACAACGGATACTAGTCTCGTTGGCTGTGGTGTGTACTACTGGCTTTGGATCTATGTCGTCCCGAAGGCTAGGGGTTACCGGATTAGGCAGCAGGTTCTGGAGCTGGCCGATGGCGCTCAGAGCCACAAGCTTGTCAAAGTCCCGGTTGCCGACTTAGCTGCATGGGATGCCACGCATGATCACGTTGGACGGCCGTTGCAGCAAGTTCCAAGTGTTCCAGGGTCAGAGGAAGAAAAGAAGCAAGGACTGGTGTGAAATTTGATCGATCAAGAGTAATCAGCATCGAGCTATTCTGGCGAGAGGCAGATTATCAATTGAGCTCGGTTATCGTCGCGTTGTTATCAACAAAGCTTTGACATTATCTTTCCCAAGTCAAGGGTTTGCGTCGGAACTCCAAATTATGATTAAATTTCTTGATTTGCAGCATTCATGTATCATTGATTTGATAACTAATTCAACGTCCCTGACCCATTTTCTGATCTCTCCCTCCCGACGGTAAAATCAAGCCTTGCAAGTGTTGCAGTTGGCCCGAGTCCAGTCGTATCTCCAGTTTTCGTCCTTCTTGCTCTGGTCCATCACGCCGTAGCTAATGTCCATGCAGCATGCCAGCTGCGCTCCATTGCAAGTGTAGCCCGGCCAGGAGGTGGTGCACGTGGCACTGGCGCAAGCGGCGAAGAGAGCAGCAGCGATGGCCGCGGTGAAGCCTGTGATCTGCTTGGTGGGCTGGGTTTTGGTCTAGTCACAAACTTAGTCAAAGCTTGTTTGGAGAAGAACCAGTCATTGTACCTACACCGATAATGGCGTTATAAACTTTGTTTATATGGTTCGCGATTTTGTTGACTTGGCGAAGGATGATGGTGATTGCAGGAAGATCATTTGACTTAAGGTTCAGGCGCACCCTTTATAGTTCGGTCAGTTATGCCGGCCAAGGCGAGAACAATTTGGACGTAGAACTTCTAATCTATCTCATATGATAGTGGATTGTTCTATAGTATTGTTGTATTGAAATTCAGGAGTAATTCGTATTTTAGAGCTATCCCGCCGGCTGAGAAGGCATAGTTGCTGGCTGGAACCAGCTCCCGTCGGTTGGGTCATGACTCTGATCCTGGGAGGTGCCGGGCAACCTGTGTACACGAAGATATGATAAGAGTGTCTTTGTTTGGAGTTTGACATTCCCCTTTTTACTTGAGCCGAACACTCTCTTGCTTGGCTGTCGTAAGAACCCCGTCGCGCAACACGTGTGGTGGTTTATCATCGTGAGTCAGCTCCACTACTTATATCCAAGCTACCCACAGCAGTCGGAATAATACTGCACACTCCCATGACCCAATGCTGGGCCCACTCGACAACTTCCAAGAGTTCTACATGCCCAGCTAGATGTGCCATGGACGACGAAAAAAGACCGCCAGTCCAGCCGTTTAGAAACCAGAACCGCTTTTCGAGTACACTGAGAAGCACAGCGAAGTGGCACAACAAGACGCATGCATGCGGATTTGCGGCATGTATGTCGTTCATGATGACGTCGGACACAGTATAAGGCCAGAACAGGAGCATGCCAAGTTCCACGTGAACGCCTGCATGTGCGATAAGATAGGCTACTTTCTCGAGTTGCACGACAGCATTCCCATATGCCTCTTTACGTTCTTCATCCAAATGAAGCTTGAAGAAGCTCGCAAGCACCCCAAGCTTCTCAAAGATATTTCTTGGCAACACCATTCTTTCAAGTGAAGGATGCCTAAATGACACGATTAGCCATTGAAATGAAAGTTGAGCATCTAGGCGGGCCCTACCTGTAGACAGGATCTCTTTCATCGACTGACCAGATTCCCAAGGCTAGCGGTGCGAGTTGTGACTGCTTGAAGCTTGGTCCGAACGCATCCATCGTGCTTCGCATGCCCCGGACACAAACAAAAAGCTCGACAATTTTGGACATGGGAGCGAGCTGGCTCCAATCTTTGTGTGTGACCTCCAAGAGGGAAAACACGTAAATGATCAAAAGCGAAGAGAAGCAAAATGTTTCCCGCCAGTTGTTTTCGGTCACGTCCTGCAACGCCTCGCGGAATCCCTCAGCGCAGCATACCAATCAATTAAGTTAAAACTGAGGCTTGAGATTAGCTGATTAAATGACTTTTTATAATACTTTTAATTATTTTAACTAATTTAATTTAATTTAATTTAAATTACCTAAATAGGAAGTTAGTAAAGCTCTTATAATATTCTTAGAGGGTCTAAACTTATATTATATAATAATCTAAGGTTATATAGCTCTCTATTAACCCCTCTACTTAAAATAGTAGTTATTAATAGTAATACTACTACTTTAAATCTAGTTTTAGAGGTATTAGGTCTTCTTAAGCTATAAGGGCTTTATTAATAACCTCTATAATATTAGAACTAACTTAATAAGGCTAAATACCCTCTTATAGTCTATTATTATTACTAGGATAGTAAAGATATTAAGGGTAAGTTTACTAAGTATTAGGAAGGTTTATTAATATAAAATCTACTACTAAATAGGTATAAGGGTCTAGCTACTTAGACTAGAAGGGCTTAGGGATAGTTCAGCTAGACTAAGTTAAAAGGATAGAGAACCTTATAGAGATAGAGTATAGAACCCTCTATAGTGAGGACTTAGTAAGTACTTATAGAAGAGTTAGAAAAGAAGATCTTAGAAGAAGTAAGTAAAAGTAGTATAGTAATATTATATTTACTTTTTAGGTACTTCTTTTATTAGTTTAACCTAACTATAGCTTATAGCTCTTAAATACCTTTATAATTCTTTTACTTCTACTTTACTTTAGGAAGGTTAGTAATAATAATAGTACTATATACCTAAGTAATACCTACTAATTAAACTAAAGAACTTATACTTAGTATTTACTAAGTACTAAGTAAGATAGCTTATATAAACTTATATAGAGAAGATAACTTTAGCGAATAATTAGAGGATAATATAAGTTAATAAGGGGAGATAAGAAGCTATATTTTAAGTAAAGCTAGAGGCCTTAAAGAGGATAGGCTACTTATACTAAATACTTATTAAAAGGATAATAAGTATATATAGGAGAATAGGGAATATAAGACCTCTCCTTATAGATTAGATAAGCTATAGGGCTAGATATTTATAGCTACTACTAATAGGTTAGCTTAAGTTAGAAAGCTAGAGGAAGCTACTAGCTAAATATTAATATAGTAGATTATAACTATAATAGCTAACTAATATAAGCTAATTATTACTATATTAAGTAACTAAGTACCTACTAAATAGTTACTAAAGGTTTATAAGAAACCTTTAAACTATAATATAGCTTACCTCACTAGTAAATCTACTAGTATAAAAAGGGAAGATTAGCTTATTATAGTAGAGGAGGTTTATAAGTACTACTTTAGCTACTCTAATAGCTAGTATATTTAGTAAGCCTTAAGTATAATAGAGTATACTTTATAAATAGAATAGTAAACTTATTAGTAAATATTTATAGATATATTAGGGAAGTAAGTTAACCTTATATAGGAAGACTTTAGAGTTTTTATAAGAAGGTAGTATATAGCGCCTAAACTTTAAGAATAAAACTACTATAATACCTTAAGGTAGTACTACTAAAAGGATAATAAGAAACCTATTATATATTAGGCTTATTAAGAGTCTATTAACTAAGCTTTTAGTAAGCTAAATATAGGTAATATAAAGGCTTATATATTCTTTTAGGGTTTTATAAGGACCTTAAAAGATAAGCTTTTTAAATAAGATATTAATTATATTAATATATATATTATAGCTTTATATATATAGAGATTATAGGAGATTTTAGAAGGGAGATATATAAGAAGGCCTACTAGCTATTCTAAGTTATATAAGTAACTATACTTAGGCTCCTTAGATTACTTTTATAAGAGCGGTTTATAACCTCCTTAGTTAGTAGACTTAAGGGAGTACTATTTAGAGACTTTATCCTAAAATAACTACTTAGTAAACCCCTATATAGGGCTTAGCTCTAATAGTAAGCTTTCTAATCTTTAGGGAACTTAGTACTATAATTATAAGAAATATAAGTATATATCCCCTAATTATACTAAACTATATATATAGCTTATAGGTAGTAATTAGAACTTAAACTTAAGATAGGGTAGGATTAATACTATTATAATTTTTTATATAAATAATACTAAAAACTTAAGAAATAAGTAGGTATAGAAGTAACCCTAAGGGGTATTATACTAGAAATCACTTTAGTTCTTATAGGGTAGACTATTAAAGGTTAAGTAATTATATTCTAAGTATATAATAAGGTTAAACTATTAATTAATATAGATATTTATACTATAGTAAACCTTATATAAGAAGACCTTATTAAGAAACTCTTACTAAAAGAGGTTATTAGTATTATAGCCTTAAAGCTAATAGACTTTTAAGGAAGACTAATACTTATTAGTAAAGTTTATTAGCTTACCTTCTTCTTAATTAATAGCTAAAGCTACTTATAGAAGATTTAGAGAGTATTTATAGTTAGCTTATATCCTAAGGGAGTAGGAAATATCCTTCTATCTAATAACTTAATAAATAAAGAAGGTATCTATATAAACACTTATACTTATACTTAGTTATATAATTATATCTTACTCACTAAGCTAGAGGTAATAGTATAAGAGATTATAAAAAATAGCTAGAAAGCCTATATAATATATTTAATAGGAGCTTTAGTTTTAGATAAAAAAAATATTAATACCTTAAGTAAAAGCTTACTAGATAAGAGGTATAAGAAGAATATCTCTAAAGAACTTAAACCTTTTACTAACGTTTTTAATAAGGAAAATATAAAGAAGGTCCTTAGATTAAAGGGAGTAGTATATTATATTAAGCTAAAACTTAGTAAAGAGCCCCTATATAAGTTAATATATTTTATATTAGTAGAATAGCTATAAACCCTTACTAAATATATTTAGGAAATAGAAGTAGCTAGATATATTTACTACTTAACTAGCTCTACTAGGGCACTAGTCCTATTTATACCTAAAAAGGATAGTAGCTTATAGTTATATATAGATTATAGAGGATTAAATAAAATTATAGTAAAGAATTAATACTTTTTACTACTAATTAGTAAGCTTTTAGATAAGCTTACTAGTATAAAGTTTATTTCTAAAATTAATTTAAGTAAAGTATATTATAGAATTATAATTAATAAAGTAGATAGATAGAAAACTATATTTAGGACCTAATATAAGTACTTTAAGTATATAGTAATACTATTTAGGCTTATAAACGCTTTAGTAACTTTTTAGGTGTATATTTACTAAATACTTACTAACCTTTTAGATATTTATTATGTTATATATTTAGATAATATCTTAATCTATTTAGATACTAAGGAGTAGTATACTAAAGACCTCTATATAGTTCTATATTGCTTAAAGGCTACTAAGCTGTTTATAAAACTAAAGAAGTATAACTTCTACTAAATAAAAGTAGATTTCCTTAGGTTTTATATTACTTAAGATAGTATTAAAATAGACCTAAATAGAGTTTAAGTAGTTACTAAATAGCTAGTACTAAAATCCTTTAGGGATATCTAAGTTTTTTTTAGCTTCTATAACTTTTACTATAAATTTATTACTAAATACTCCTATATTATAGCTCCTATAAATAGTATATTAAAAAGAAGTTAAAATAGTATAAAGTTAGAAGCTTTCGTTTAGATAGGGGAGATATAAACTATATTTAAAACACTTTAGAAAGTATTTACTAAAGCCTTAATATTAAAATACTATAACTTAGTGCTAAAAACTAAAGTTAAGACTAATATATCTACTTAGGTAGTATTTAATATACTTTTATAGAAATATAATACTATTTAGCACTTAGTAGCCTTCTAATTAAAAAAGCTTTTAGATATAGAAAAACACTAAGCTATAAAGTAATAAGAGCTCTTTACTATTATAAAAAGCTTAGATCACTAAGTATAATATCTCTAAAAGCTCCTTAAGAAATTCTTAGTACTTATAGACTATATAGCACTAAAGGGGGTACTTACTATACCTATATATAATATTTATAGAAGGCTTATATAATAAGTCTACTACTTATTAGTATTTAATTTTAAAATCTAATATAGATTAGGAGTTACTAATCTAATAGATAAACTATTATAATACCTTAATTATATAGTAAAAGATTCTAAAGTAGATAATATACTCCTTACTTTTAGGAAGAAGCTAAAACTTATTAGCTAGTTATTAGTAATAACTTACTAATATATCGCTAAGCTTAAAGGAACTATAGCTACTATAAGAACTTATATCTAAGCTATTTAGTAAAGTATATAAAAACTTTATTAGAGGGCTAGCTCTAAAGTTAAGAGATCCTTACCCTTAGGTTAATACTACTTTATAAAAGGTACTAATAAGTTACTATATTAAAGTATATATATTAGTATTATTACTTACTTAAAATTATATATAGATATTATACTAACTGCTCTATAAGAAGATAGTAATATATTAGAGGACTTAGGGGGAGCTAGGATTATTATACTAAAGTAGTATATCCTATATACTATAATAAGGGAGCTTATTTAGGATAAAATAGTATATATATTATAATTAAGCATAAATTTTAAATAGATAGTTAGAGGACTATAAACTAAAAACTACTTCTATAGAGAACTTATAGCTAAGGTTTACTAAGATACTAAAGAATACTAAAAGTATTAACTTAATAAGAATAATATCCTTTAGTTTAGAAGAAGACTTATTATCTTAGAAGAGAGATCCCTCTACTATAAAATCCTAAAAAACTATTATAATATACTTAGATTAAGGTATATAGGGGTGAATAAAATAGTAAAGCTAATCCTATAAAAATTCTATTAGCTATACCTAATAGAGGATATATAGTAATATATTACTAAGTGCTTATAGTACTAAGGAGTATATATACTATAATATAAGCTATATAAACTACTATAAATATTAGAATTACTAGCACACCTATTTTAATAGATTTCCTTAGACTTCTTAACTAGCTTACTAAAGAGTTACTAAAATAATAGGATTATATATAATATAATCCTAGTAGTTATATATTAAATAACTAAAGTAATATAATTTCTAGCGATAACTAAGTAACTAGATACTATAAGTTTAGTAAAGATCTTATATTAAGAGATTAAATACTAATATAATATACTTAAAGCTATTATTAGTAATTAAGATAAGTTAATTACTAGTTAGTTCTAATAAGATTAAACTAAAGTTTAAGATATAGAAAGGTATATCTTTATTATATAATATCTATAAATAGATAGCTAAACTAAGAGATTATACTAAGCTCTAACTATATACCTCTTAAAGTTTAGTAAAAGCTTATATAACTAATAAGTAATATAGCTAGTTAAAGCTAAATTCTCTTATAATAATAGTAGATATACTATTATTAATATATTACTATTTAAAACCCTTATAGGTTACTACTTTTAAATAATTAATTACTACCTACTAAGTATTAAAATTAAAACTTAAGGGGTTAATAAAAAGCTTAAGAAGTTAATAGAGGTTTACTAAAAGATAACTAAAAATTAGTAATATATAATAGAAGTATAAGCTAAAAATGTAAATACTAAAAGGAAAGTGTAATTATATAAGGTTAGAGATATTATAAAGCTCTTAATAAAGAACTTCTACTTTATAAAAAGTTAGTAAAAACTTACCCTATAATTTATTCTTATACTAATTATAGAAGTTATAAGCTTTAATACCTATAAAGTATAGCTCCTAGAAAAATATAATAAGGTATATAATATCTTCTTAGTTATTTTACTAAAGCTATAGTATAGCTAAAAGCTTACTAAAGGATAGCTTTTAGACCTAGAAGAGGACTTTAAAGAATAGGAAATTAAGGATATTATATTATAAAGGGATATACTAATAGGCCCCTTATATTTAGTTAAATAGAAAGGCTAGCTAGTAGAATATAACACTTAAAAACTTAAAAAACACTTAGTAAATATTTTATAAATCCTTATAAGATTTAAGAAGTAATAATATAAGTTATACTATAAATAAGATAATAAGTAGTATAGAGAAATAAGGAAAAGTTAATTAACTATAAAAAAACTCTAAAAAAAACTACTCTTAAAAGTAATATATAAACTTAGAAATATCTAACTAAGAACTCTAAAGAAAAGCTACTATATACTTACTAAAGATCTACTAAAAACTACTAAGAATTATCCTCTAAGTTATTTAAATCCTCACTAATACTATTACTATTAGGACTAATATCTATATTATTCTTACTATTACTACTCTCACTTTTTAATAACTTATCCTCCTCTTTAGAGTTAATAAGATTCTTATAAATACTTATAGAAGAGGTGCTAATATCCTTATAAGTATTAAGTTAAAGAGTAAGGCTAAAGCTAATATATTTAAGAATTATAACTAAGGTATACTTATAAGAATTATAAAGTATCTAAGAAGCTTAGACTTTAGAGAGATCTTAAATAGGTAAACTAGATATATAAAGGTTATTACTTAAGAGATACTTCTCTAAGATATTATTAAGCTTATTAAGGAATTAAGTTTAGTTAAAGATATAGCTCTTATTTTAGAGGTATTAAGGTAAAGTATTTTTAAGCTAAAGATAAGTTTACTTAATAAAGTCCTTATCTTTTTTTTAGTAAGTATTCTATAAAGAAACTATTAGCTATTAAAAAAAAACTTAATCTAAGGGATTATATACTTTAAACTAGATCTTAAGATATACCTAAGTATAGTTAGCAGTAGTCTCTTTAGTATTTATCTATAGTAGTTAGTTATTATACTACTTAAAGTTAGGCTAAAGCTTAATAAGGTTTACTAACTACTTATAGAGTAATAAGAGAAATACCTAACTATTTATAATTATAATATATATATAGTAGATCTTATACTAATAATACTTATTAGCTTTAATTTAAGTAATATAATACTTTACTTAGTTCTAGAAGATTTAAGTGCTATTAACTAAATAGTTAGAGATCTAGTTATACTAATAGTTAGTTTAATACTTTAGTAAAAGGTTACTAAACACTTACTTTATAATACTTAACACTATATAAATAATATATCTAGTAGGTAGTATTACTTATATTAGTATAAGTATATACTACTTTAGTAGTTTAGTAGAGCTATAAGGTATAAGAGATATAAAGCTTATTACTACTTAATTAGTTATACTAATAAATATTATTATTCTTTACTAAGTTATTAGGCTTATATAATATTAGAATATAAGCGATTAAGGTCTTAGTATTTATAATAATTAGATATAAAAGTAGTATTAAAAGGGGAAAGCTCTATAAAAGCTTAATAAAGCTTTATAAAATATAAAAGTTATTATAATATAATATAATAAGGAGGAAAAAAAAAAAACTAACCTTAAGTAGGAAAAAGAGTACTACTTTATAGATAGATATAAGGTATTATTAAATAGTTAGAGAGGTAGCTATAACTTTAAATAATAAGAATAGTAGTTATTTACTATAGTAAGTACTACTAAAGGTAAGAAGGTAAGTATAGTAAATTAATAATAATAATTACTATTTAACGTTCTAAATAGCCTTATAATATACCTATTTTAGAAGGGGGATAAATAGGATAAAAAAATAAAGTTATTATAAAGCTATTATTTAGAGAGGGTTTACTAAATAAAGAATAAAATATCTATAAGTAAAGAATATAAAACTTACTAAAGATAATTTCTTTTTTTAAGGAATAAGAGAGACCCCTAATAAAATCTTATTTAGTAAATAATATAACCTTAAGGGTAGGATTATAAAACTTATAGAAATAATAATAGTACTAAAGGATAAAGAAGTTTTAATAAATATATAGTAGATAACTACTATATAGATAATAGAGATAATTTATAATAATAATAATAACTATAAAAAGCTTACTATAGATAATAGAGGTTCTTACCTACTACTAGTCTTATTCTATAGTAGGGACTACTATAATTAGAAGGGGGATAATTATAAAGGTCTAGCTACTTAAACTAAAAGGGTTTAAGGATAGTTTAGCTAGACTAAGCTAAAAGGATAGAGAACTTTATAGAGATAAGGTATAGAACCCTCTATAGCGAGGACTTAATAAGTACTTATAGAAGAGTTAAAAAAGAAGATCTTAGAAGAAATAAGTAAAAGTAGCGCAGTAATACTATACCTACCTTTTAGGTGCTTCTTCTATTAGTTTAACCTAACTATAGCCTATAGCCCCTAAATACCTTTATAATAGGGTTATTAATAGGCTTAGCGATTAAGAGGCTAAAGTATTACTTTAGTTTATTAGTTTTATTAATAGTAGTATTATAAGCCCTACTATTTAACTATTAATAATATTTAGAGTCTTTAACTCTTAAGGTAATAGTAAGTAATAAAAAAGTAGCTTACTAAGGCTTTAGATAAGGTTAATAATTAATAAGGTTAGATCTCTTAATATATTATTATTCTTAATACTCTTAAAGTCCTTCTTAGGTATTATAAAGTTATCTATAAGTCTTTAGTGTATTCTAGCGTTTTTTAAGCTATTATAGGCTTTAGCTAGGATATAAAATCACTATAGTAGTATAGAGGGGAGACTTTATAAACTTAGTATAGTATTTATTAAGTACTTATTAGCTATTAATAATTAATAAGTATAAGTAGCTATAAAAGTTAAAAGTGTTATATTAGGGGTGTTATGAGGGTATATAATCAGATTAAGTATAAATTAAGATACTATTAATTAATAAGGCTTATGAAGCTACTACTAAGGCTCTTAAAGAGTATTATAATACCTTTATAGGTTAAGATAGTTATTATAACTAACTCTAAGTAAGTTAAGTAACTATAAGGTTAATTTCCTCGTTAGTAGGGGTATTATAAAGCTTATATTAGTCCTTAAGTTAATCTAAGAGGTATTTTATACTTATTAGAACCTCTTAGAGTTAACTATACTTATTACCTTTACCTCAGCCCTTATATCTCTTAGTCTATTTATAGAGCGGTTTAAGTATATTATTTAACTTTATAAGGATCTATTAATCCTTATTAGTGAGAGTATCCTCACTAGGGATATAATCTATAGTATACTTAAAGCCTTAGGTATAAAGTATATAACTATTAATCTAGTTATATTTAAGTAAAGTATACTTAACTATTATATATATTAAGTTCTATTAAGTAGTATTATTTAGTATTAAGTTTAGCTTTTATAATAACTCCTCTTATAGGGTAAAGATTTTATTATTATTATTAGCTTTATTACTAATAGATAGGAAGCTTTTAGATTATTATAGTAATAATCTAATATACTTAATAATATTCTAGAGCTTACTAATAGGGCCCTTCTACCTCTAATAGGTTAGGTTTTCTTAAGTTCTATTAAAACTAAGAAGGAAGTTAGACTCCTCCTTAAATACCTTATTATTAATACTATAAATAATAGTATAACTAATAAAGTTAAGGATATAGCTATAGTATTAAATTTAGCGTTATTTAGTATTAATTTCTATATATATAAGTAAAAGAGAAGGGAAGAGAGCCTTAAAGTAAGAGTTATTATTTATAATGTTATTAGAGATAGCTATACTAATCCTATTAAGTAAGCCTTAGTTATTAAGAATAGTATAAATAGTAATAGTAATATTCTCACTAGAGTGGGCATTAAGTTAGTAGTAAAAAGCTAAGAGGTATTATATCTACTTACCTGCTTTATTAATAAAGTAGTTAAAGATAGTAATAATTATATATTAATTAGGTGAGGTTTATAGATTAAATAATATATAAACCTTAGTGAGTACTTTCTATATCTCCTCTTAGATTTATACCTTCTTAGAGGTGTAGAGTTAGTTAAGTAGGTCCCTCTAACTTAACTTTAACTAATATACTTAGTTAAAAATATTATAATTAAAGAGGTTAAGTATATACTATATATATTAATTACTAAACGTTAAGAAGGGGTTATTAATATTAATAATAAACCTAAAGGCTAATTCTTTAATTTATAAGACTTTACCTTAAGGTATAGCGATAAGAATAGAGTATTAGCGCTTAGGGAGGGGCCTATTAATATTAGAATTATTACTAAATATACTCTTAATATAGGATTAATCTTAGAAGATATAGTGGATAGTCTTAAGGTATACTTTAGTATTAGATATAGTAAAAGCTTTCTGAGGTATATTAAGATACTTAGCTTTATTATAGTATTAGTAAACCTAATAAGTATCACTTAGATATATTATTAATATAGTTAAAAGTAGAGTAAAGAAGTAGTATACCTTAAGTACTACTTTAAAGGATCTTATAGATAAAGAAGCCTTTATTCTTAATCTAAGAGGTATAGCTTTAGCTACCCTTCTTTAAGATATACTTAATATTAATAAAGTAGTAACCCTTCTATATAGCGTAAAATAAAGCTTTAAGACTACTATAAGTAGTAAAGTTAATAGTTAATATATTACTAGTAGTTAATAAGGTATAGATCTAAGTAGTAATCTTATAAGGAGTTAATAAGTTATAGCTAATAAAGTGATTAAAGTGTTAATTATAGGCTAGTATAAGTATTATAATAGTAGGCTAGAGGTTAAAAAAGATACTAAGAGGTATATATAAGTAGGGCTTTAAGGTATAGAGGTAGGCGTAATAGTAGTAGTAGTAGTAGTAGTAGTAGTAGTATTACTAGTAATATTAAAAAAGGGTTATTTTTAAAGACTAGTGAAAAAATTAAAAATAGGCTTTTTTTAAGCCTTAATAAGGGGGCTAAAAACGTATTAATTAGGCTTAATAATTAAAAGTGCGTTTTAGCTCTATAGTAGTATATATTAAAAAAAAATAAGTATTATAAAGTACTTATTAAATAAAAATTACCTTATTAATATCTATTAGTACTTATATAGTTAAGTAGTATAATTCCTAACTTTATTTAATAAAGTATAAGGTTATAAGTTTAAATCTTACTATAGGTCTTTATATTACTAATAGTGAATTTCTTTAAATATAGTTAGTAATATATTTTTATTTTTTTTTAAAAATCTTTTAAAAATTCTAATTAGTTTAGAGACTAGATTTTCCTTCTTCTAGCTAACTTTAGATTAATTAAAACATCTAAAACAAGGGTATTATCGTTTTAGCTAATTAACTGCGAAAAAAGCCCTCTTTTGATTAGCTGATTAGTTGAATTGATTGAATGGGATTGAATGGGGTGCTGCGCTGGAATCCCTGAAGTCCTGCCGTTTGGTAGTATGCCGCGAGTTTGAGGTGTGTGTCCCGCTGGTTCGGGAGAAGATGCGCCATGTGAGCCGCTGACAAGGCTAGTATTCCGTCCGTGAGAAATCCAGAGGAGTATCCAATTTCAGGAATGATCACTCTCCAAACGTATTGCATGTCTGTCCGAAGAGATAAAGTGTCGCTGGTGACGACAGAATAATGATGCATAAGCTCAAGTCCCCGATTCTGTGTATCGAACCCTATGTATGCTAAGGCGCATCGCTGTTCATGACGTGATAGTATGTCGTGGAGACCGGGTTGTAGACGCTCAGTCGACTTTGGAGATTTTGTGTCGGATCCCCATAGATACTTTTTGTTGGTTTCAGCTGAATATACGCAGCGTATACCGAGTCGCGTGCAGTGAAAACATGACGGAAAGGCCTCATCGCACTATACACACCATATAAGACAAGAACTTGCAAAATCTCCTAGATTTTCCATGCAAAACCTTTTCAGGACTGATCTTAACTTTCCTTCGTTTGCAATCTTCGCATCCCAAGCGGGACTTGGTATGTTTTCGTCGCGTCGACGTCGGCCGCGACTTAGGCGACATGAACTCGGGGCGCCTGGCCAATTAATCTCGAGGACAGTACAGTAGAGACCAACTCTTCAGAGGCACTGGTTGATCAACCTGAACCTCTACAACGACGCTATTTGCGTGGCTCTTATAGCGGTTTCGATTTCGTAACTTTTGCCGTAATTAACAGCTACGTCGCTCAATACCGCAGGCGAATCCCTTGTGGACTTTGACAGCTTAGAGGGGATTATGGCGACTATCCAAAAAGGAAAATGACAAAACGTATCTCCCTTGTGACTCGGCTGATTGTGGATACAATTTGTTCCAGACCCAGTCACGGAGAGAGTCCCACTTCGTGCCTGCCCATCAGCGCACCTACGAAGCTCCCTCGTATTCCTAAACGAGGATAAACGAGCTTCCCCAAGTCATTCCACCGCCGTGACAGCAAAACATGCACGAAACTGGTGGAAGAATCGCAATTTCCGTCTGCAATCCATGACGCACGTAAACACAAATGTCCTTCTGCGACAAAGGAGACAACAAGCCCCTCGGAACCATGAATCAAATGGAGCTCCAAACGAGCTTCAAACGAGGTGCAGCTGAAGCTTGCGTAGTCTGGGCGGAATTTGAGGCAGCCTAATGCCAACACGACCATGGCGAATGCACCTTCAACTTCGTGTTGGTTAAATTTTGAGACTGAAAACTTCAATAGCTCCATAGCTCCATGTCTACTTATTGACCTGTTTCCCTTTCTACACACTTTCAAATTTTCACTCGTCGAGCACTTACTTTGACTTCCGCTTGACTTGTAGTTAGCACTCTACCAGAGTCCCGTACGATCCCGGTGTCACCAGTCCAGCAAACCAGGTCGAAGCCATGGCCACAGGCAATGACTTATTCAAGCTCTACCGCTATGACCCATCTTTAGCAGCCGCCATTCTTTTCATCATTCTGTTTCTCCTCATCACTGCATGGCATTCATTCATATTACTCCGTACAAAGACATGGTTTTTCATTCCCTTTGTGCTTGGAGGGTTCTGTAAGTAACAAGTGTCCCGTGTCGTCTCAACTCCGTCGTTCCAGCTGTGCTAATTTCGCGATACCCTTATAGGTCAATGGATAGGCTACGTCGGGGTAAGTTGGGAAAGCCAAGTCATTCATGGACAACTGTCTGATACGTTCTGTTCAGAGAGCGGTTTCAAGCGTCCAAAGCCCAAACTGGACGGTGAAGCCGTACATCATCCAGACATTGTTGCCATTGGTGGCTCCGGCGCTGTACGCAGCCAGTATTTATATGATTCTGGGGCGCATCATCATGATAACCCAAGGAGAGCATCATTCAATAATCCGGAGGAAATGGCTCACAAAGCTTTTCGTCTTGGGTGACGTGATCTCATTCATCCTACAGGCTGCCGGTAGGTTCGACAACCGCCCATTCATACCATGACTGATCGCTCTAGGTGGCGGTATCATGGCCAGCGGCACGAAAGAATCTCTCGAATTGGGCGAGCACATTGTCATTGGTGGTTTGGTGGTACAAGTTCTCTTCTTTTCACTATTCGCCAGCACCGCCGCCGTTTTTCACGTTCGAATGCGCAAGTTACCGACGACCAGAGTTCTATCGACAATTATTCCATGGGAAGCGTTCCTAGCGGTTCTTTACCTTGCCTCGGCACTCATTATGATTCGATCCATCTTCCGCTTGGTTGAGTACGCTCAAGGGAACGACGGCTATCTGGTTTCTCATGAGGTGTACCTGTACGTCTTCGACTCCGTCCTGATGTTCGCTACAATGTGTTTGTTTGCTTGGAAGCATCCGAATGCAATCAACAGATGGGCGAAGGATGAACACGGATCCGATTTTGAGCTACCTTGACGTACATTGGAGAGAGTCAGTTTTGGAATAGCGAGGTGAACAGCGCTTTTGTGTCTGAGCCAGTATCAGTGCATGCACAAACAAAGTAGATCAACGGGCCGATGGGAACGACTCAAGTAGTGAAAAGTAGTTGGATTAAACGACTTAAGTCTGGTGCTGAACCACCTAGGGATTGAAAAATCAATGCGACAGAAGTGATGACTTGAGCGTCGAGCCCCTAGCTCGTGAATCCCGCGCTAAAGATCTAACAATACTTAAACAAGGAGCGGCCCAAGTAAGGGATGATCACAATCGTGAAACCAAAGACGCGCAGTACCTCGCCCATTCAGTCCAAATCATCCACTCAGGGTCCAGGCTGTGCAGAGTACTGCACAAACCATCGATCAGTCGAACACCAAAATCCTTTCCCCACCAATAATTGTGAACGACGAGCGTCAAAACTCCATAGTGAGCCCACAGAAGCAGCGCCATCGGATCTTTTCTTTTGAGTAGGTCGATTAAATCTTTGCCGCTCAAGATTGGCCATGCAACAACATGCGAAATGCCACCCTTCAACTCCACCTCCAAAAAGCTCAACTCGAGCCCGTCAATGGCCCCGATATAAATCTCTCGGACATCTACCCCAACGTACTTGGTGACGATATCAACCCTTTCACGGAGTCTAGTCATGGCAGCCTTTGCGTCTCTCCATGGCACAGCGACGGCAAATCCCTGCTGGCCATTATCAACACTGTGAGTATTGACAGTCAGGAAGAGGGGCTTAAACATTCCAAATTTGATCATCTCGCCATAGGTCTGTGTGGTAATTTCGACGCCTTTCAAGAGCTCGAAAATGGACGTGATATGATCCAAAGGTGTGACTGACTGGCGTTCTTGAGATGCAGATGGCATACCAAACCCCATTATTATCAGAATAATCGAGAAGGCAAAAACTGCTTCGTAGTTATTGCCGTCGATGCAATTGAGGGCGGATCTGTAGCCCAGTATTCCTGAAATTTGGTATTTCGTGGCAGCCTCCGTGTAGTCCCAACTCGCCAAAGGCTCCAAGTGCGCACAGTGAGACGCCGATAGAGATAGCAGCCCTTCCATCAGGAATTGATGGCGCATTGCTTTTCTTGGTATCGTAGTTTTCCACAGATCCACCTGATCAGGTGTGAATGCCATGCTCAGGCAGGTCACTGTCCCGTAATGATGCATTAAATAGAGCTCTTTCAGTCTCGGAACGTGGGGAGCTTGACTGGTAGAAGATGAGAGCTGTGGAAATTCTTGGAAGTTCGCGTATTGACCAGCCGAAGACTCAATTTGGGCCCTCGGCTCGGTCGAAGAAGGCGTTGTTGATGCTTCCCTGGTAGAAATTGCGATCTCACTGAGACTACACCTCTCTTTCCGGCGTACACAATTTCGACACGAAGGTGTGTCCTCGTCGCACTAGTCAAACTAGATTCTAGCCAATGCAAAAAAAGAATCGAATCTACAAAGGGTTTTCATCCATAATTCACATGAGACAGATACACCGACGTTCCTTACCTTCACCCGTCGCTGTTTGCACTGTGTGCACCCATCCCGGGATTTCCGGTGCGGCTTTCGGCGTGTCATGACTCCTCGGTCTCTAATGTGGTCGACAGTAGAATGAAGGGGACGTTACAATCAACAGAGGTTGGGCTTCGGCTGGCTTTGAAGGAACGAGCACAAGGGAATACGAGTCAATATACGAAGATCTGGTCCAATGGCATTCGGAATAGGACGTCTTCCCCACGCCGGTTCCCAGCTACACCTCGTATTTCTCGTACTCCTTCGGATTCGCGGGAGAATCCATTCTGCGGTTTCGGCCAATCACGAACTCGATGATCAACCGTTTTTTGAAACCAATCAATTAGATCGCCTGCTAGCCTGGTAGATCTGCAAACGTTCCACACTTTGCACTGAATATTGAGTATTAAAATGGAGCACGCTATTCATGTCCGCCATTGTTTGGCCCGTGAAAAGCTGACTATGGGGCCCAGGCAGCCACCTGGTCTGGGTCGTGGGTTCGAAATGGGAATGTTGCGATCAGCACAGCCCATTCCCCTCTACACCCTTGAATCCTTACACAATCTTATCTTCTTTCCATGCCGCCCTATCGGCCTATCGGGGGGTATCAGTACTGGAAACGCCATCTAGGGTCTTTGTCGCCGGGCCAGTCGTTCAAGTCTCCAATGGCTTTGACTTCCTCGGCAATTGCCTCGCGCCTCTTATTTTCTCCCTTAAGAACGAAGTACAAGACAGCGCAGACCGCAATGTTGGCGATCAGGTATGCCAAAGCCAAAGAGTGACCGACAATGTACCGCGGGCCATCGTTTGAGCGATACAGCTGGGTGCCCATGACAGCGCCGAGGTTGCCGATGGTGATCTGCATGGCATTGCCCACGGCGCGCTTGGTCTGGCCAGAGACGTTGATGGCAGGCCATGAAAGAACCAGAGCAGTAGCAGGGTAGATACCACCGGCTGCGAAGAAGGTTCCTAGGTACGAAACACCAGGCTTTCCTGCTGGGTCGGTGTTGGCGAGGAGGATGATGTAGCCGATGGCTGCAAAGGCAGAGGATCCCATGATGAAGAACGCTCGGCGGCCGGTTCGTTCGGAGTAAATTGCGACGGTCAATGTCGTGGCAAAGGCAAGAGCGTACGGCGGAATCGTAAGCAACTGAGCCTTTGCAGCAGTGTATCCAAGATTCTTAATGATTGTAGGCTAGCCAGATCAGCTTTTGTCGCTCGGTGTGTGAATATTGATGATCTAGGACTTACCAAAAACAGAGAAAAGGTGTAGAGGGGCAGGCTCATGGTGTGAAAGCCCAGACCGTACAGCCAACACTTCGGATCCTTCAGAGCGTCTAGTACGTAGGCCCACGTGAAACGCTCATCGTGAGTCGCGTCACTGTCGGCAGCCAGTCGGGCGCGGATAAAACGACGCTCCTTGTCAGATACGAATTGAGCGGTGTCGGGATAGTTCTGAATGAACCAGTACGCGGCGACGGCAATGACGACGGTAGCAATACCCTCCTGGTCACAGGGTTAGTGTCATGGAAGTGCCAAGTAAAGTTGAGTACGAACCAGAATGAAAATCCATCGCCAACCATTAGCCCACACAATTCCTTTCATGTGTCCGATGCCCTAATTATTTTTAGCAAGGTGATTGAATGATGATGATGTTGAAGTGCTAACCCATGCAAGAATACCACCAAAAGCACCTGCGAGAGAAGCAGCACTGAAGAAGAGGGAAATGCGATATTGCCGCTCGCGACGCCGATACCACATGGAGAAGTAGAACACAACTCCAGGGAAAAGACCACTTTCCGTAACGCCAAGGAAGAATCTAGCGACAAAGAAACCGGCCATGTTGGTGCAGATACCCATCAGAGTAGCAACAACACCCCAAGCAATGGTCAGAGTTGGAAGCCAGAAGCGAGGGGTTGTTCTCTTCAGGATGATGTTGCATGGGATCTAATTGGAAGTCAGAGACATGCGTCGGTAACCTTCCAATGCTTGAATGGGCTTATCAACTTACCTCGAAGAGAACATATCCGATGAAGTAGAGGGTGAGACCAGTAAGATACTCGTTTCCAGCTGGTGAAGGTCAGCCGGCCATCACACCTCAAAAGACACCATGTCTCGCGTGATCAGAACTCACTCATGTGGAGGTCGTCGGTGAGACCCTCGATTCTTGCGTTGCCGACTACTCTTGCATCAGCACTAGAAGTCCTCGACATAATCTCACGATGGCTCACCATTGGATCGGTCGAGGAAAGAGAGCAGGTACAGGATTCCGACCGCGGGCAGAAGCTTTGCGTCAAGCTTTCGTAGCAATGCCTTCTCGTTCACAGCCTCCTCTCCAATCTCGATCTCTGAAGGACTTTCCGCTCCGCTGGACTCATTCAGCGGCGCCTCTGACGCCTTTTCGGGCGCGAGGTCCGGCTTCACCGCGCTCATCCTGAATGTCGGAAGAGCCTCGTTCGATTCGGTTATTGTTCTGTCGTGTTGTTTACTGCGGGAATCTCGTGCACAAAATCCTTCTCTCGGTCACAGCCTCAGCCGTGCATTCACCTGAAGTTAATTTTGACGCGGGTTGTGTGTTGGGTGAAAACTCTGTGGCCACGCGCACGGCTTTTCAATGCGGCCCCAGACGGATGCGAAGAGACCAGACGGCCGGGTTCAAATCTCTGCAGGCAATTAAGACATAAGATTGGCGAGGGAGAAGGACCTTGAGTTGGGGGCCTCGCCCCTCCTCGGTTGGGTGCCATTGTGTCAAACCTACGCGTATCTATGAGCATTTCTCACTGCCGTTTCCCTGGGTACGCATGGCATCATCGGTCCATGATGACATTTACGGCTCCTCATTCCAATTTCATCTTAGCTACCGTTGCAGATTGTCGGCGTCGAGTGGATTGCGCGATCGGTGGTGGGTGTTGAAACACCAATTCTGTTGGGTGTGATTGGCTGCTGGCCCTTCTGTTGGATCACGACATGTTGAACCCGATGGCGACATCGTCAAACTGGGGCTTTTCCCCCAACTTTCTCCAACAACCCCCCAATCGTCGCTCTGTGATAAATAACACAGCTCGCTTGGCAAAGCTCGACATGAACCCCCACGTGTCGTTCGAACCAGCTAACAAAATCTTGTTTCTCCGCGCGGCTGGATCTGACACCTGCAAGTGCCGACGAACTGCTCGTGCGGGCGAACATGAGGCCGAGAAGAAAGCCGACCGGCCGTTTTGCGGCCCCACTCTGAGACTTCGGCGCCGCGTCTGTCTCCACACCCGCCCGATGCCCCCACAGCTGCGTGTCGGAGCAACACGGACGATCGGCAAACGCCCGAAGACCGCCATTCATACGGAGACACTCAATGCACACAGAGTTCGGTGTTTAATTCGGTGTTTAATTCATCATTGAAATCAATCAGTATTTCACATTCACCACCAATGCAATCGGGATGGCCCATAGGCACCTCAATCAGGACAAGATTCATCTGCAAGCCCACGAGTGTTCAAGTCCGATCATCAAAACTCATTCGAATTGAAATGAACCCGCAAGTAGCGGGAAGCTCGCAAGTCATTGGCGAAGAACATTCACAAGTGCGAAAGAGGAAACAGATTTCCCATCCCCGAACGATTTTATAATATTTCCTACTATACACTAACTACCCTTTTTTTGTCCTTTTCGAAAACCCTTTAAGAAATAAAAGCAAATGAACGACCTTCTATGCAAATAGTGAAAGATAACAGGCTAAGCGAGTGTTTGAACCAAGACCAACCAAGGAAACCATTCAGTCATCACAAGCGTCTGGTGTACAATCCCCCAAGCTCAAACTCGCACCCTCGATGAGTTTGGCTTCGCTCAAAGTTGAGCAGCAGTCGTGGGCAAGGCCATGACCAAGGAAATCGCCATGTGTCCCCCGATCAGATCAGAGACCTGTAGGAGAGAGTAGCGGTCTCTCGGAGCAAGCGATGCATTTAGCAGGCGGTGTCGAAAGCGACGAAGGTCTGGCCGTTGGTGGGGGCAGGGAGCTGAGCAGCGGGAACGTTGAAGAGGCGGCACTGGACGGGCTCGTTGGCGGAAGGCTTGCCGAACTCGACAGCCTGGCAGCCAGAGGTCTGCTTGCAGAGAGCAAGGCAGGCGTCCTGGGTGGCGATGTCGGAGCGGGTGACCAGAGGGTTGGGGGCGCTGGTGGCAGGGCCGGTGGGGGCGGCGCCGCAGACGTTGCGCTTCTTGGGCTGCTCAGTCTGGCCGTTGTTGCCAGTCTGGCCGTTGTTAGCAGCCTGACCGTTGTTGTTGTTGGCCTGGCCGTTGTTGTTGTTGTTGCCGGCGCCGTTGTTGTTGTTCTGGGTGGGGGCGGCGGTAGGGACGCCAGTGCAAGCCTTGTCGAAGACCATCAGGTTAGAGTTGCTCTGGGGAGGAACCTGGGCAGCCGGGACGGCGTAGAGGTAGCAGAGGGGAGTGGTGCCGGAGGGGGGAAGGCCGAAGACGAAAGACTGGCAGCCGGAGTCAGCCTCGCAAAGCTTCTGGCAAGCGTCGGCGTTGGCCGCGGCAGGCTGGGAGCGAGGCTGGACGTCAGCGTTGACGGGGCCAGCAGGCGCGCTGTTGCAGGTGTTGGCGCGGATGGCGAGGGGGCCGGCCTGGGCAGCGGCGGCGAAGGCAACAATGGTGGCGATGGTGAACTGCATTTTGACTGTTGGGTGGGTGTTTAAAGAAAACTGAAAAGTTGACTGAAAGATGAGCGAAAGAGTGATGATTGCTGAAAGAGCGAGCTAAGAGAGAGAGAAAGAGAGAGAGTAGGAAAGATGCTTGTGAAAGACTGTTGATTGGATTGGTTGTTGGTGGTGAGGAAAGAAAAGGTTGTGATTTCGGGGCGACGAAGGCATTCTTTTATATTCATCATGAGCAAGTATTTCGGTTCCTATTCCCACCACTTCCGCAGCATATCGACTGACGATCTACGCAGAATGGACGCTTCGATGGAGATGGCATCTTACGACGCGCGTCTCAACACCGCCAGCCTTCGGCACAAGTGGGCGGAGAACATGATCGACATCACGGATGTCAAGCGGTGAACTTGAGGTCCTCGTCACGGGCCTCATGGTTTGCAGGGAGTTGGGAGCCGTACGATGCCGCTGAGGCCGCCCCCAACCACTCAGATGGCACTTTCCATCTGATGTTTGACGTTTCACCATTCGCTTGACGTCTACAGCCTCAGCGGGACAGTTGGGATACTCCCGCGAAGTGGGAGAAAGTCCTGGAAAGTTTCAAGGGTTCATCCGGCATATTCATGCGACGAAGCAACAATTCTCCTATGCGTTTCCGTCTGTGGCTAGAAAAACACCCGATCAATCTGTAATGCTCAAACTTCGAGAAGCTGAGATTGACACTCTGGGGCAAGACCGACTTCGGCACTGGCATGATGCTTCCAGCCTTTTTCCGATATTCTCTCATATTTCCCCACGTTTTCCTGCTATTATTGGTGGTTGTATACCAATGAATTGACTTGCAGCGCAGTTTCCGTGAGGGGGTTTCGGTACGTAACAAGCGAGTGACATTCCAATCGATAGTCAGACATCTTACGTTACCCGCTTCTGTGGCACGGGGAATTTGAAGCTTACTGCGTAGTAAGAAAGCCAAGCATGAGGCTCACGGCTAAACTGGCCCTGCCGGGCTGTCGGCTACGGGGCGCCGCTTGGCTTTCATTGGCAAACATGTCTGGGGACGTGCAATGGACTGGGATACCCTTGTTCTGTTTCCGCCCAAGCTTTGCGGCTCCCGACGCCTGTTCCCCCACATTCCAGAACGATTCCATCGCCCAGCCAATCCCAACGTTCAGGGGTAACGATCAGGGGTTGCGTTTTTTTATTTTCTTGACATCTCTTTTCCCCTGAACAGCCTCTGTGACGTGGGTATCCTTCAAGTGATGTGGGCTTACGCCGTCAGGCATTCGCGGTCCTCTGCCCTAACCGAGCCTACTGAGACGTGTTGGCCGCGGGGGAGAAGCCATATCGAGCCAAACAGTAGCAAGCCGCAGCAACGCACAAACATTCCGAAAATATGCTTGCAATCTCCCCTAACTCTTTTGAAGTTAGGGCATAGCCATTAAGGCGGGGAACCTTCAGCAAGCGCAGCCCTGCCTATAGCGGAGAAACAACTCTGTCTGTTATTAAGACGTGGGCCGCAGTCGTGAGGCTGAGTTCCAAAGTGTGACCATCTCCTATTTCGGCGACTCGTGACCGGACGTCATTGGCGCAAATGCAGAGGTGACGAGTCCACCATGGGGCGGCATTGGGGGCTGAATTCTTCTTCAAGCCGAGCGGGTGAGCGGCATGCACGCACACGTGGAAAATGGTGAGTCGAGTTGAGTTGGGAAATTAGCATCGTGAGGGGTTGACTTTGTGCGTCGTCACCAAAGTAAAAATAGGCCTTCGGTTAAACACAATTGTCGGGCCGTGTGGTGACTGTGGTGTCTGATCGTGAGGGTTCATTGCTGTGAAGGGTTGTAAAGGCAGATGAGGATCATCGCCGATTTCCACATTGGGATCCGCGGAGCTTACGAATTGGGATGATGCGAGTCGCGCAACAACAAACCTTCAATGGAGAGAACACCGCACTTGCAATTATCGACATGTTGTTGACTGATGATCATTGGGTTTGTATCTTTGGCGGCGATGAGCCCTCAGTTTCTGTTCGGGCACCACGGATTTGACGGGATGTTTGAGTTACAGACCGCTATATGGTCAGTTACGTGGAAGCCGCATCGACCTAAACCAATGATACCGTACTTTGACCATATAAGAGCATGTTATAGGCGAACTAGTGACAACAATGGCGGTCAGAATGACAACATCGCTTACTAGCTGGACAACTACTATGAGTCTTTTTCGTCAACAGCCAGCCGTCAGTTCCGGGCCTTCTCGACATCCTGTGAAACAAGGCGGTCAAATGTGAAGATTTTTCGATTTATGATGATGATTACTTCAGAGAGCAGTCGCCATTCCTAAACCGTCCAATGGTCATCTCCGTAGTATGTGACGAATGGCGGCCATTCATTGCTGCGTCTCCTATGACTAGACAGAGTCAAGAATAGAAACGCTGCTGGCTATCACGATTTGTATCTTGGCTACGTGATCTCGTATTCAGTCCAAGTTTATGAACGAGGCAGGAGAGTTCTAATTGATATGGACAGCAAGATCAACGGCCAATGCGAATGTAATGAGCAACTGCGTGAGAATGATACATTGCTTCCGATACAGCAACAAGCCGACACCACTTGTTCGGTTACATACTGTTTTCTGGTTTGTTCCTGTTACTTAGGAAAGGTGGCAAATACTTCAAAACCAATATCATGTAACGAAAATATGTATGCAGAGCGACAACAAATAACATGACAAGACACATGATTTCCCTGAAGTCAGTGGAGAGTTAAGCTGGCAAAAAGAATATCAGTTCAGTTTCATTAAATTGCTTAATTCCGACTCTCTTTGATTATTTTTTCTGTTCATCTTGTCCAACTTCTGATCAAATTCGATGCGGACGACGACAGAACTCGCAATCTTACCAGTGGCGTTCTCGTATACAGACAGGAACTCCCAAAGCAGCGAGGAAACACACAGAACACTTCAATTGCGAGGGCTGAATGACGCCACAGACCTACTTGGACCTCCAGGGTGCCTACCTACCACAACCCGTGGAGGTCCCAGTAGGAGGAGGTGTTATCCAGCCCCAACAATCACACTGCCCGCAACTCCATTCTTCCAAGATCATCAATACGTCACAACTCCTAGATTTGCCCATTCCGTTCTGCACACTGAGTGGGGATGATGACAAGATGTCACCACATGTGAACATTGAATGAATGTTGTCTTTGTGGGTATTGCCCAAGCACGCTTTGTCGGAACAATATTTTGTTTATTACTACGTTGTATTGTTCGCCACTTAGCTTCCATCATTGTTGATCATGTTGCCAATGATTCACTGATACAACTCAACGGACGACTCAGTAGACGAACCGTAGGATACATCCGCGAAAACGGAATCTGCCATATTGACCATTAATCTTGCGGGTAGAGAGTGATCAGGGAACTGATAAGCAGCCGTAGATACCAAAGCGGAAAGGCAAACATGGGCTGTTTACGTTACATCCAGTGGAAACAGAAGAGTCAGTACAATTAATATACAATTGAACCCGAACTTCCGTCAATATAGAGCTTATGACCGAGTCCAAACCCTCCTGGATTGACTTTTCCGGTGGCGACAAAACTCTTAACCTGCCAAGACGGTTCACGTGGGTGATCAACATTGGCGATGGTTCGAGCGGTGGCTGATTTTTGATTGTTGTGGTGGCCGGAAGCTCGGGAAAAAAAACAAGCATATCCGGGACGTGGATGGACCCAGTTCCGTGGGTGCTTCTTTCGGAGTTGCCAAAGTGCCCGGAAATTTGTGTTTCAAGCAAAGCGAGTTTCTAAACTGCTTCAAGGGGAACTGACTCAAACACATTGCCCTTTCCGATTGTTGTTTACTTACTTTGGAGTTTTGATTGAGAACAACAACGCGCTTCCTTGTCTTCACGACCAAAAACAATGATTTTGACTCTCGGAGATGTATATTGCGGTCGGATGCATCCATATTGCTGCTTCTTTTGGGGTCCGTAGATGCGTTGGTCGGGGCTAAGACCGACTTGGAAGGTGGTTTTAGGTTCATCGCGGGAGCTAAAGTGTTTCGGGATGTGGGCATCGGTAATCGGGAAGAATAGATTGCCTTCCTGAAAAGGAACTGGGTCCCCGAACTGGAGACTTTGTTAATTCTCGTGAGAATAGATTGACTTTGACCTCATTGAGGGGTAATCGGGCCGTGACCGAGTTGTTGAGCACTTGGTAATGCGATCATGTCAAGGTGAATGAATCGGAGTGATCAGCGACGGTTCCAATGCATCAGTGGGTTCTCCGATGTCTCCGCTGATGAAGTCATGAGTCGTCGAAAAGAATGGTCTCGTTCACCTCACCTTCCTTGCAATATGTGGTCTCCGTTTGTCATACCTCGACGTTGTCGATCTTCACCTGAACGTAGCGCGGGGTTGCATAATCTCAACTTCAGGCGGAACTCTCAAAGAGTCGGCGATGTGACCGTCTTCATGCGTTGAGACAGGACGTGGTAAGGTGGCGAGGGACTCAGCGAGTCATCGCCGGCTTCAACTGATCAGTATGTGATGACGAAAAGTGTCGAACAAACAATTTCTGCTGCTGCAGATGCGCCTGTAGAGTAGTCTGGGTTCCGTTACACGGTTCTGAAAGCAAGTTTCATTGCTCATCTCGAATATGTCATGTTGCGTGTCGAAGTGAATTCTTTTCAGTATTTTTGTTTAGTAATAAAATGGCTGAAGGAAACCGTTCAAGATAACATCTCAAAATACAAAATGTTTATGCTAATTACTAAATGAAAACACTTGAGTATCCAATTTGGACGAGTCTGAATATATGAGTTTGGTAACAATGGACATAGACCTGCAGTAAAACCAGTGAGGTTGGCTTGCAAATCGTCCGAACTGTTGCGCTTGGAAAAGTTCATCTCAAGTTTGCTGTCCATCACAGACATTGTGTCAAGACATAAACATTCCTCTAAGGTTAAACCGCATGTACGTCGATCACAAAGCTTAGCTTAAGGTGAAAGTCTGCAAGTTGGGAGT